GTCGCGTAGATTTCGGCCGTTTCGTCGATCCGCGGTTTCTCGAAGACGTTGCTGAGGTCTCATCAGTGCGAGAGCAAGGCAAGTCATGCATTACATTTGATCATATTGTACCCAATTTACAAATATCCCGTATTTTTATTATATATTGCATTCTTTTACAATGTCATGTGGGATGGGTCCTATTACTCAGCCATTTATTGTTTACCTTATGCCATTGATAACTTAGGTATCAAAATGACTAGATGTTGGTTTAGGAAAATGCTTAGCCATGCCTAGCTCAACTAGTACACAAATGGGGATCACATTATTACATAGACTTTGTCTATTAGCATAGCTTTGGATTGGTACCACCGCAATGGTGTTAGTTAATTAAAATACACTAAATGGTGGGCTGTGGGTGCATGGTTTTGCTGGTCGCACCCATGGCAATTAAGGACCGGTTCATGAGAAACCCTAGGAGACTTACCATGCTTACCACAAGCGGGAGTGGGTAACTGCTTGATCTGAAGTATAGCTCGACCCTTTCCTAAGCACCGGTGGCGAGGGTGGGCGTGATGGAGTTGGGTCGGCCAGGGTGTCCGGTTGTCCAGCTGTCGGATTCACTGTGGCGCAAGAGGGGACCGCCCACTGCCTTTTGAGGGGTGGGGGTGAAACCTTAGCATGGTGTGGATGGTTAGGGGAGGGTTATGCGGAGGGTCTTGTCACGATTTCCCCCTTTGCAGTATCATGGTGATACTTCGGGGCATGGCGACATGTGTGGAATCGTGTCTTGTGAGTACAGTTGTACACCTCTGGCCAGAGTAAAACTATTCGAATAGCCGTGCCCGCGGTTATGGGCGATCAACCAGATTCACCGTGATTAGTCTCACCCCTAGTTTAGCTTAATGCACTGGTGTAGTTCAGGTGGTTGGTTGGGCCTGTTGCAACGTGGTGTAGCGTTGGACAGTGATTGGTTAATATTGCTTAATCTACTGCAATTGTTTTTACTACTTTCAACTACTGTTTTTAAATGCCTGCTATATTGCAAATGAACCCCTAGCCTCCTTTGGTTATATCCTGCATCATACCTCCTCTTCCGGTATGACTTGCTGAGTACAGTGGGTAGTACTCAGTCTTGCTTTCTTTTCTCCCACACCAGAGCAGAAGTTCTTTCCAGTTGGAGGTGTCTTAGAAAGGTTGTTTTCGTCGCTGCCGTCAAGGATGCCTATGGAGTGGAGTCGCCCGCTGTTGAAGTCAAGCTTCCAAGTTTAGCTCGTTTTTCTCTTTTCCGCTGCATTTGTAATCTTTTGTCGTTTGTGTACCCTAACTGGTCCTGGACAGTGATTTAATGCACATTCAGCTTAGAAATTCTGGTTCGTGAATTTCTGGGCGTGACACGTCTCGGCTCGGGCCAGCCGCCGGCCTCGATATGGAGCAAGGACACGACGTTCTCCTTCGGCGACATCCTGGCGGCGACGAAGCACTTCAACGACGCGTACTGCATCGGCAAGGGGAGCTTCGGTACCGTGTACCGCGCCAACCTCGGCGGCGGGCGTGCCGTCGCCGTGAAGCAGCTCGATGCGTCGGAGACAGGCGACGCGTGCTGCGGCAGCTGATGCCGGTGAGCGTCATGATGTAGAACGTCGGCACAGAGGGGATGCGGCGCATCAGTGTGAACGAGAAGCCGGCCGCCGTGTTGCTGCTGTTGGGCACGCCGAGGGCGATGAAAAGCGTCGCATTGCTGTCAAAGAAGAAGAACAGAGAAAGAGAGGAAGAAGAACAGTGAAAGAGAGATTGACAAGTGGGTCCATGGGCAAACTTGCCTTCAACCAAAGTTTCTCTCTCCATTTTCATCGGAAATAATAAAATAATGGGAGGAGTGTCCAGTAGCTAATTACCACTTTTTTTAGTGTCCACGAGCAAATACACGATTTTTTAGTGTCTCACAGCAAAGACCATCATCTTTGAGTGTCCTGTATCAAATTTTGCCGCAAAATCTCATCTCTACTCATATTTTTCACGAGACTTAAACACCAGCATTAGCACCTAGCTTTAGTAGATTGATTCTCCATGGTATAGAACGATGTATGTGTTTTCAAATTGATTGATCTTTGGTTGGAAGGAGACCAGCTTGGTTAGCTTCGTTGACCTTAAATATATGGCAAAATCTGCTGCATAGCTAAATATATATTATCTTCTCTCCCCTGTGAGCAATTGCCCTTTGATCTCCTGGAGTGTCCAATAGGGCAAGGCTATATGCGAGTGGGAAAAAGTCCACTTTGACTCCCTTAAATGTACAACGAAAATCTAATTTGTACCCCTCAACCAGAAAACCGGTTAAAACGACTCCCCCAATTACTAAAACCGGTACAAATTGACTCCTTCGGTGGTTTTGGAGGGCGGTTTTGCTGATGTGGCGCTGATGTGGCGATACCAACCCGGTATTCATTCCACGTGGTACTGACGTGGCGATACTAACCCGGTCTTCATTCCGCGTGGCGCCTACATGGCATTAGAATTAAAAAATATCTGTAGAGCCCATCTATCATTCACACATAAAATATATCGCGGGACCCACCGACACATGGGACCCACATATCATCCTTTCTCCTTCCCTTCTTCCTCCTCCCTCCCTCCTCCTCTCTCTTTTCTCTCCTCATTTTATCTTCCCCCTTCGGACGCATCGGTGGCGACGGTGGCCGGGTGGAGTGGCGACGGATCTGGGCGGCATGGCCGCAGCCCCTGCGTCCCCCCCTCTTCTGGGCGTCGGTTTCCTCGCCTTGTGTGATAATTAATACTCCCACTAGCTGCTACTACTACATCGCTAGCTTAGCTAATGACGTCGCCGAGCAACCAAGAACACTAAATTAACCAACTAAACACAAGCTAATTAAGCTAGTGTCGTCATCATGTTGCCTAGCTAGCTAGCTAGCTAATTACTACTCTGGTGAGTGGATGGCGCCATGCCGCCATGGCGGCGCAGCAGCAGCACATGTCCATGTCAGCGTCGTCGTCGCTGGTGACGAGCCTGAGCAACTCGCGTGAGGGGAGCCCTGACCGCGGTGCTGGCCTTCCAGAGGGTGTCGGCAACGGCGATGTCGGCGGCGGAGTGCACCGGGACGATGGCGGCGCCGTCGTTGCTGGAAGGGAGATTCGGGCTGGGCGGGAGCTCGCGGCGGCAGTCGAGCCTGAACGCGTTCGACATCATCTCCTTCTCTCCGGCAGCTCCAGCGCCGGCGGCGGAGGTGGAGCTGTACCGCCGCGGCAGCCGCACCAGGCACCCGAACATCCCACCGCCGCCGTCGCCTCGCTGCACGATACGCGACAGCAGCGACCGCGGTGACTGGCAGCTCTCGATGCCGCCGCAGTGCCGCTCTGCCCTGCCTTCGCGCCGGCCTTCTCCACCCACCGCCGCCCACGGCTTCGCGGACTCCCTTGCCACCGTCCGCTCAGCCATCCGTTGCCTCGGCAAGCTCTCCGCGCTGCTCGCCGACGGGAAGAGAAAGAGAGAGATAAGGGAGAGAGAGAGGGGGCGAGGAAGAAAGGTTGGAAAGAGACTGACATGTGGACCCCACATGTCATTGGATCCTATTATAATTTTTGTGTGTGAATAATAAATAGGTACCACATATATATTTTTAAATCTAATCTTACATCAGCGCCACATGGGACGAAGACCAAGTCAACACTACCACGTCAGCGTCACGTCAGCAAAACCGTCCTCTAAAACCATCGAGGGAGTCAATTTGTACCGGTTTTAGTAATTGGGGGAGTTGTACATTTAAGGGAGTTAAAGTGGACTTTTTCCTATGCGAGTGTGAGGTAACCGCGGAAATAAGACGAAACAAATAAAAAGCTTGATCGGAGCCTAGCACGGTAGGCAAGTTACTAATAACGCACTGCAGGAGCAAGCAACAAACGAAAGCAAACCATGGCCAAATACAAAGGGGCTCCCGTTGGAGAAGAAAGGTAGGAGTAGCAGTTATGAGTTTCCCCACATAGTATTCGATAAATAAGCTACATTGAGGTAGTAGTGTGCAGTTGGTTTAAAAGTTATATTTGTTAACGTTAAATTCAAATTTTAGGACTCATCTTGACTAGGTATTTAAAAAACGCTATATATTACACATATAATAGGAAAACAAGCTCTAGGATTTATATATCATTAACCAATTATAAGGAGAAGTAGCTTGATGGTATAAATAAAAATATTTATTATCAATAATAATATTTCATCAACTTAAAATGAAAAGAAAACACCTTATTTTGAATTCACAGTTAGACGTGTCTTTTAAAAAAACTAAGTTAACCTTCTTTATACATAATGAAAAAGATTACAAATAATTTCTTATAGGAATGAATTCAATATTATATAGTTTGAAGTTAAAAAATAGCTTGGAAAAATTACCAAGCAACGCTGATGAAGAAAATTTGTGGAGTAGTACTTTTAAGCGTGGCAAGTGTTATCCGTTTCATATTCATTCCTTATTAGGGGTGTGTTCGGACCCAAGGGTTCCCAACCCTTCTCCATCGTATTTCGCGTGCGCGTTTTTCAAACTGCTAAACGGTGTGTTTTTCACAAAAAGTTTCCATATAAAAGTTGCTTAAAAAAATCAAATTAATCTATTTTTGAAAAAAAAATAGCAAACACTTAATTAATCACGCGCTAATGGACTGCTCCGTTTTCCATGTTCACTGTTCCGGATGGGAACGTGTTCTAGCGAACACAGCCTAGGTGGTGTTTGGGAAGGAGGGACTAAACGACTAAAGTTTAAAGTTTAGTCCCTTCTTTCCAAACACCACCTTAGTTTTTTAAACACAATTTATAATACATGCCCACATGAATACGAGCAAGATGTTCACCACATACGATATGTTCTTTTCTTCCATTTGTAAACTTTCACTCCTTTATTTTTCACGCGCATGTTTTCTTTACTTGCGAACGTTCACTCCAAACAATGTACTTGTCATATTCTTGCTTGCTCGCAGCATGATCGTATAAAGCTCACAAGGCTTGCCATGTAATCTTGCCCCTTTTTTTTCCCTTGTATATGCAAGGACCCCATCGATCACGTTCACCTCGTCTGTCGTCGTGTTCGACGCCGCCCTCCCTCCCTTCTTCTCCCACGCCGGCCAGCCAAGCCAGCTCTCACCACCGGCAACGATTCCGGCGAGCGCTCGCTCGCGACGACGGCGGCGACAATGTGCGACGAGTGCTGCTGCACCTGCAGCAACAACTGTAGGGACGGGCTCATCGTGTGCGGCATCGTCTTTGGCACCCTCCTCCTCGCCGTGCTCATCTCCGCGTTCGGCTTCGTCCGCCAGCCCACCTTCGTCGTCGACGACGCCTCCCTGACGCGGTTCAACCTGTCGGCGGCGGCGTCGTCGATCGCCTACAACCTCACCCTGAAGCTGGTCGTCCACAACCGCAACTGGGCGATGTCCGTCAAGAACACCAAGCCCATGGACGCCGAGTACAAGTTCGACGGCCAGCCGTTCGAGCGGATCCAGCTCGCCGACAAGGGCGACAAGCTCGGCCCCGGCAAGACGGTGGTGCACCGGCTGTCGTCCGGCAGCGAGGGCGCGATCGTCCCGGCGCTGGGCAACGCCGGCGCCCAGGAGTACAGGAAGGAGAGCGCCAAGGGGACGTTCGAGGTGGAGGTGGCGATCGCCGGCGAGGTGAGGTACACGGCGAGGCTCACCAAGTGCAAGATCGAGGCGACGTGCCCGCTCAAGCTGCAGCTCGCGCCGCCGGGCACCACCTCCGTGGCGTTCCAGAAGGTCAAGTGCAAGCTCACCAAGCCGGAGAAGAACTGCTAGGCGACGGAGATCATCGATCATCAGCCAACGATGGCGGCGGCGGCGGATTCTTTCTCTTCGTTCTTGCGATGATATTGGTTGGGGTGTGCATTGATTTGCAATTCCTTTGTTTAATTTGTGTTTGAATTTTTTTAAAATTGACATTTGTTTAAAGAAAATGTCTTTCCCACTTGTGTATTTTGTTTATTATTTCTGATTGATTCTTTGGTGGTCATTATGATGACAAACATGTTCCATCATAAATAAATATTATTGGATGCTTGAGAAAGAGGTTGGAGATAAAATTTAGTGAGATGCTACTCAAAAATAAAAATACCTATGATTCACAAAGTAAGGCCCTATTTGGATATTTTCAGCTCGTTAGTAGCTAGTTTATTTCCTGGGCCAACTGACTGTAGCTCAACTTGTTGAATTCCTTCTGGTGAAACCAAACTACTTTGAGTTTAAGTTCTAGACTTAACACGGATACTTGTATTTACGGCTAATTATTCTATTAGTGGTAGACGAAGTACCCGTTGATAACGAGATACATGTGATGATTCCGTCCAATATTAAAATATGTTAATCTAGTATTCCAGATGTGCTCATAAGACTAGGATGTGCGCGTGCTTTTGTAATATGTTTCCAAAAGATATAGTTTTTTTTTCATCATGTAACTACACCTTCTCAGAATCTGGATAAAAAACTAGATTGTTTAAGAGAGCTTTTAATTCTAGGAGAAGCTGCAGCTACCAAAAATTAAGGCATAGTTTGTGTTTGATGGCAAGCGAGAAGATATATCTCTGTTTCATGCGCAAAGTGATAGTAGCTAGTTTTTGACTGTTAGTTTTTTTTTAGCAGAGTGAACGTAGCTCAACTGGTTAGATTCTTTGCGGTGAAACCAAACTACTCTGGTTCAAGTTATAGACTTAACACAGGTGCTTGTATTTATGGTAAATTATTTTATTCGCGGTAGGCGAAGTACCCATCGATAGCGAGATGTACGTAGTGATTTCGTCAATCTTAAAATATGTTGGGTGAGTGTGCGGGTGTGCTTATGATATGTTTCTAAAAGATATAGTTTTATTTTTTGTATTATGTAACTACACCTTCTTAGAATCTGGATGAAAAACCATATTGTTTAGGAGAGCTTTTAATTCTAAGAGAAGTTGAACAGCTAAAAACTAAGGTATTGTTCATGTTTGATGGTAAGGGAGAAGATTTGTCTCCTTTTCATGCGTACGTTTCCTGAACCGCTACGTGGTGTATTTTTTGAAAAATAAAAAATTCATACATCCTAGAATATAAGAAGTTTTAGAGTTGAACAAGATAATTAAGAAAGTTGCTAGAAGTGAATGGTGGAGAGTTGTGATTGGATGAGTAGTTGAGATAAATGGGAAAAGTGAATGGTGGAGAGTTGTGATTAGTTGGGAAGAGAATGTTGGTAGAGAAGTTGCTATATTTTGGGACAAATCCTGAGGGCTAAAGTTGTTATATTTTATGATGGAGTGAGTATATAGAAAAGTTACTTTAAAAATTATATTAATCCTTTTAAAGTTTAAAATAATTAATAAAACAATATTAGTTCATCTCGTTTTACGTATCTTCTCAATTTTCTCATTTCCTTTCCTCTCAAACACACATAAGACTTGGCTAGTTCCGAGCACGGGAGAAAACTCACTCGATTTCCGCGGCCATGCTTTTCAAACTCCTAAATGGTGAGTTTTTTTTAGAAAAAATTCTATATAAAATTTGCTTTAAAAATTATAATCCCATTTCAAGTATGAAATAATTAATATTCAATTAATTATACGCTAATAACTACCTAGTTTTGCGTATTTTCTCAATCTTCTATTTTCCTCTCCTCTTATACACATCTCAACTTACGTAGGAAGTTAAACCGAATCATTTGTTTATAGAATTATGTACAATTTATGAGTTCCATGTGGTTTTAATTTGTCATAGTTCTTTTCTTTGAGACAAGTTCTCCTTGGCACTATGAGGCACGTTTTGTCGTTTACTTGTAAACATGGAGAGGAATTGTGCTGAGAATAAAGCGTCGAAAATGTTTGTGACAGGCAAAGAAAAAAGAAAGGCTTAAGGGCCCGGCCATGTGTAGGGAACAAACAACCTGTACATGCGCATGACAGTATGCATGACATGCTGTGCTAGGCTTTTCACTTTCTCCTTCGAAGCAAGTAACCAACTTTGGGACAATTGCTTATTTGACCCTGTTTTGAACCGTAACTACTAATTTGACCCTATTTTTTGAAGTTTACTTATTTGACCTTCCTTTTTGAAAACGAAGCTCCCGTCTGACCCCCTTTCCACTACTCCATTAGGGTTGGATTAAAAAAAAAGAAGAAAATGTTACTAATATTCCTAATGCCCAAAATACCCTCAGAAACCCTATCCATCCATTGTGCGACTCTCTCTCTCTCGTGCGACACTCTCTCTCGTGTGACTCATGCGGCGGCGACAGCGCTCTGAGTGCGCGCGGCGGAGCTCTGAGGGGGCGTCGAGTGGAGCGGTGCTCTAAGGGGGCATCGGCGTCTCGGCGAGGGGACGACGGCGGCGCTCTGAGGGAGCGTCGGCAGCGTGATGCGGAGCCCTGCTGGCGTCCGCTCGTGGAGGTAGAAGGCGTCGGCGGCGGTGGGGCCCCTCTCTCTTGCCTCTCCGTCGCTGCCCCAAGCCCGATCCACCGACCGCACCACGCGTCATCGCTGGATCCGCCGCCCGTGCCCCGAGCCGCCTTCGGATCTGTCACCCGCATCCCAAATATAAAATGATTCAAATTTGTCAAATTTGTAACAAATCTATCAAACTTGAGCCAAAATTATTGCAAATATTGAAATATGTCAAAATATTCTAATATATACAAGGTATGACATTATAGGGTCAAACAAGCAAGATATAACATGGTCAAATAAGCAAGGGCAAAATGGATTATTTACCCCCCCCCCCCTAAATTAACACCGTTAACTCACCTAAACGAAATAGGGTCAGACCAGTGCTTCGTTTTTGAAAAGGAGGGTCAAATAAGCAAAATTCAAAAAGTAGGGTCAAATTGGTAGTTACAGTTCAAAACAGGGTCAAATAAGCAATTGCCCCGCCGTACATAGATGGAAATGAGGATTATAGCTTTGTTTAGTTCGTTGAGACCCATGTGACATCCTGACCTAACTAGGATGTGGCATGTGTGCCATGAGAGCTATGTGCAAATGTTTAGTATCACCTTACTAGTTTAGCTAGAATGAAAATGAGAACAAAAGTGTAAGTGGGGTGATGTGTAACTGGGCAACCTATTGAATGGGCTAGACTGCGTGGTTCTAGAGGACAGAGGACGGACAGTTACAACCCCGCTATTTTATTAATCGCCAATATAAACCACTAGCCCATTGTTATACTTATTATACTTATAGGCTAAAATTTGATAGATTTGTTACAAGTTTGGTCTTGTTATACTTATTATTCAAACCTTACAAATTTTATCAATCATCACATGGAGAAATAAGATTCATTTGCATCTGCTTAGTGGAGGAATGTCTGCCTCTCTGCATTTTAGAGTGGGCATAGTTGATGACTTAAAGTTCAAGGATTTGCACAGCAAGGCGATGTTCCATACGATATTGACTGAACATCCGACAGCATCCTAGCTAACTGAAACTAATCCATTCAAGGGTACAGTACAAATATGGCTCTGCAATTGTGCAAAAAGATTGAGCCTTTTGGGGCAGAGACATCCATCATCACAACAAAAGAATCATCAAGCAACTTTTCAATTGAATTAGTGGCCGTGACCTAAAACCAACATATTACATGTTACAGCTCTCTACAATCTTACCAGAGAAACACTGGTAGCAAGTGTACAATACAGTGTGATTTGGTACCTCCCTATTAGATGGCATTTGTAGAGTATGGTGCTGCCTGATCAGCCGTTGTTCTTTGGCTTCTGTACTAGAATCAGTGAACAACCTGCCAAGAGGTTATCTACCAATACCATCAATCATCAATGCTTTCCTGCCCGTCCACCTCACTAACTTCAGTATGAGAAACTGTTGTGGTGTGGACAGTGTTGTTGCTACCACGGCAATGCAGGAGCTGCCGCTGAAGGCTCTCAATAAGCTCGTTAAGTTGTTGAATATTTTTCTCCTGAGAAAATATTATCTGTAGATAGAAAAATAGCATGTAAATCTTCAATGAGAAAACTATGCAAAGAATCATGGCCTTGTAAACCAATATAGAGCAAGATAGAAGAACGTATTCAAACAACAGACACCAGTATAGTCAAATCTTGCATCTTTATGATTTCCAGGTTAGCTATAAAATTACTGTCCTTCATTGCTCCACCTCTTTTACAATCAAACAGATATAATAGATCAACATCTTATGTTCATGATTTAAAGTCTAGCATTTCGATTAATCTTTATTAGACATGTCCCAGCATTTTAAATACCAATACTCCAAAGTCACTAGTGATAATCATTTGCTATAAGTAACCGAGTCCAGCAACTTCTCCTTACAAGGTTGTTCGAAGGAATGGACTCCCCATGACATGGCCTAAACTATGAAGGGCATTCACAGGCACTGATCTTCACTTGCCAAATGGAAAGAGAAGACATGCTAGAAAATAAGTGAATAATAGTCAGCAAATTAAATGCTCACAGTAGCAGAAGAGTCACAATAGATCTCAGAATTGTAGTAATTATACCTAAATATATTCAATTTACAAATCATAATCAAGATTCGAGATATCAATTGATCGAGCCAAAATGCTTAATCTAATGCCAACTTTCTTTAAAATATACTTTCGCTAACCGAGACCAAAATTATTCCGATATTTTATATGCTTGTCACAAGGATTCCACGAATCATTATACTGGCAATACATGGATACCAGGACTTAAATTTCCTTCACAAATGTAAGACAAGCTCCAAATTCACATAAACATATGTGTACTGGTCAAAGTTATATGTGGGATCCGTAGAATTCATGCACATCTCAATCCTATTCTTGAAAGTGAATGACATTCGTGGTACATCACAAACAGGAACAGACAAATATTCATAGAAGGATTTACACCTATATCAGACTAGCATGCTTAAGAATTTACAGAAATGATGGATGTAGGAAGACTAGCATGCTTAAGAATTTACAGAAATGATGGATGTAGGAAGTTGTTCGTGTTAGAACCTAGGACATGCATACTTGCAGACAATGTGCACTGGACAAAAAAAAAAACAGAGAGAGAACATGTGCATCTGTAGAATTTTTAAATAGTGCCCACATGATCATCTTTGTACACATTTCCTTCCAAGATCACATTTGCCAACCTGTTCTTAATCCTCATTTATTTTTGGAACCGTGAAGTGGACATACTAGTTTGCACAGACATTCAGTATCTCATTATTTACAGTCAGAAATTCCTCAGGGAACTGGCTAGTATACCCCTAAGGAAACAACACCCTAGCCTGGTTAACAAAAAAAAATGTTTACAAGCAAAGTTGAAGTTGCCCAAAATTTAATTAAAGATACAAGAAACTGGCGATTAGTAGTATATCACATTGGAATAGAAGAAATTGGATGTACTTTGCAGCACAACTCAACCTCAAAAGCCAGATCTTATAATTGGAGGACGCAAGGTTCCCTGATGCTTCCAATAGAAGAAAGCTTTCTTTTTCATGAAAAGGTCGTGATAGTTGGTGCGTCCTGTCATCACCAGTAGTATCTTTCTAGCCTGGAGAACATCCCTTAATTATGGTCACACGATCCTAACCTCTTCAACAGTTGATTGCCGAAGAAAACAGGCGCAATATCGAATTCTAATGTTGATCCCCCATTTAAATTTAAAGCAGTATCTGAATTGATTTCAGATCGTAGAGTAATAAAGCTAACTGAATTCAATTAAAGGAGAAAAATATACAGTACCAAATGTGACGGATGGTTTGGGGGGCAGGTTTGGTTTTGCTTCTAGCTGTATCCAAAGAAGTGAGAGATCGCGACTAGAAAGAACCCGAACAATAAGGAGGAGAAGGATGGATTGCTCGCTCTCACCTTCTCCTTGACGGCGTCCTCCTTGGCGAGGCCCTGGTGCCTGCGGCGCGCGTCGGCGGGGTCGGCGGCGGCGTCCCCGATCTGCTGCTTCCACTCGAACTGCGACGTGATGACGAGCACCAGCAGGAGGAAGACGAGCACCACCGGCCTCGTGTTCATCCCCGCGCCACCCCGTCGAATCCAAGAAGAAGAGGGGAGGCGCGCGCCGCGCGGCTTAATTACCAAGAATGTCCCCCCACCCTCCACGGATCTCCGCCGCGGTTAGGGCCGGGCGTCGCGGGGCGGATGAGGATCCCCGCCGCCGGCGAGAGGGAAGGCGGAGAGGTTGGGGTTGGGGGAGGAGGAGGAGCGTGGAGGTGGACAGCTGCTTTGCAGTTGGGGGAAGAGGGAGAGGAGGGGGAGGGGAGTAAAGTGCGAGAGGAGGAAGACGACGACTTTGGTTGGTTGCCAAAGGAAACTCGCGGCGCCACACAAAACCGCGTCGAGTCGAGACTTTTGTGCAGCTTTCTAGAATGTAGAGTGCACGTCAGAGCGGCTCTCCCTTGGCTATTTTTTCTCAAACTTTGGCTGTGTTTAGTTCCAAAATAATTTTTTAAACTTTTAATTTTTTAATCACATTAAAACTTTTCTATATACACAAATTTTCAACTTTTCCATCATATCGTTCCATTTTCAACCAAATTTTCAATTTTGCTGTGGACTAAATGCAGCCTTTGAATGCAACCGTACAGGTTTGAGAGGATGGTGTTAGGGCTTTCACAGTGCGAATACGTGGCTCGTGGATTCATTGCGATATGTCGGAATCGGGCCTCCACGTTGTCGTGAGTTGGTTCCCCATTTGGTCGCTCGCGAGTTACTCACTGTGTTGTAGGCTAAACGACAGGAGCATGGCTCTGCGCCAGCGTCACAGTCTTGGTTATTGGTTATTGTATGCTATACTACTGAATCCGGGCCCACTTGATACTATTTGAAAGGCAACTCGCACTGTGGGAGCTGTGGCTCAAATCATCCCTAAATTTATTTGGCACATGAAGTTTCAGTAGTGTGTGACCTGCATTGCTAATGGCCTTAGAGTAACCTATAAGGTCATGGCCAACGCTCCACGCTGGAGCGTGGTTTCAACCCTCCCAAGACAAATATTTGCGTCAGCTTGGCCAAGACCGCACCCCGATAGAACGTCGCGACCCCGGCAGAGAGCCACGTAGTTTCGTTAGCTTTTTGACGAGGAACGGATGAGGAGCCGCGTTGGGGATATGCCTCGCCTTAAAGCCGTCGCCCCACGCCGTTGATGCTCCTGCGCTGGGGAAGAAGATGGTGAGGGGGCAGATTGGAGAGAAGAGCCTACCCGAGAAGCTCCACCTGCAATTAGGGCTGGATGGAAAGCTCGTAACTCGTTAGCGACTCGTGGTTGGCTCGATTCGGCTCATTACATTTTTGTAACGAGATGAACTCATGTTTCAGCTCGAGCTTGCTCATGGGCTGCTCGTGACCCAAACGAGCCGCAACATTTACAGCTGAACTCGCATGCTCAGGCCCAAGAACACAACATAGCAGATTCCGTTGCTAGGTTAATGGCCCAACAAAGCCCATTTAGCACCAAGCCATCGACTTTATCTCCTCCCCCCATCACCCCAACCTTATTCCCTCCCCATCTGACGCGAAGTTTCTCTCGTAGAATCGGCGCCTCCACCGCACGGTCGAAGCCCAACGGCCACCACCATGCGCGCCGGGAGCTCCTGCAGCAAGACCGCCTGTCGCCCATAGCGACGGCTCCACCCGACCGCACGGGCGCACGATGGCCAGGACCTCCTTCATGCTACCACCGGTTGCCGTGCGGCCGCACCACTCGGACGAGCGCGGCTGGGAAAGCATGACGAGCCGCCGCTCCGAGATGGCAGCCTCGAGGAAGAAGCTCCTCACCAGCACCATGTCCCACAGTCCCATGGAAGGATTCATCAATCCATTGTCGATTAATCCGCGGGACCACGACAACAAACGACTCCCCTCGACTCCCCCTTCTCCTCTTTCTCTGGCTCGCGAGCTAAACAAGCTGGCTCGAGCTAGCAAACGATTAGAACTGAGCTAGGTGATTAGCTTGTTAACATAACGAGCCGAGCCGAGCTAGCTCGTTATTCTAATGAGTTATAGTGAGCTGAGCTACGCTGGCTCGGTATCCAGCCCTACCTGCGACGGACGACCCGATCTGCCACCTCGAGTGCTGTCGCGTGGATCCGTCGCCGCCGCATCAATGCCTTCCGCCGTCGTGTCGATCCCCACCTCCGACGCGGCGATCCCCACCGCCATCGCATCCCCACTTCCAGCGCATCGATCCCCACCTCCGATGGATCGATCCACTGCTGGGAAGGGAGAGGCGATGGGGGAGGCGGCGCCGCCAGGGATGAGGAAGGGGAAGGGGAGAGGTAGAAGAAAAGAGAAAGGGTGAGCCTTTATATACGTTTGTGATTTCTAGGGAGCATACTGTAAATATTGGACTTATATGCGAATAAAAATAACCGAAGGGTTTAAATATAAAATGTGACCGACTGATTGTATAAATAGGATAGAAGAATGGTTTGCACTGTGTAAGAGACATCCTTAGCCGGGTCTGTGATCACTTTTGCTTACATGGATGGTGAGAGTGCTCCCTGCGTTGGCCATGGCTTAAAAGCCCCCGGTGATTTGGGAGAGCAAGCATGAGGAAAATACGTGGTTGATCTAGTGATGAACCTAAGTCACGGGTACTCTATGCTATGGCTTAGGACCTGCTCATAAAAGTTCATGGGCTGCTATAAATTTTCATCATGTATGAACCTGGCTCTTATCAAAACATGAATCATTACGATGTCTCCACTCTCCACCAGTCAGCAGTGACGACAAGCAACTTGCTAAATGAGGTAGGAGTTCTCCTTAATTAACTCTGTCTGCAGGTCAGCGTTTACCTGCAGAGGACGTGAGCATCAGCAGCCGAGCCACTCGGAATTCGCCTCCTCCCGCGCCGCCGCCGGCCGACGGTACGGTCTTCGGCGCCACCAACCATGCCTGCCTCACTTTTCTCCGTCATCGATCTCTCTTGCCTTAAATGGACGCCGCCGCCGCGCCGAGCTGGTGCAGGAAGGATCGCACATGGCGACGGCGCACGTGCTGGTGTTCCCGGCCCCAGCGCAGGGCCACCTCAACTGCTTCCTCCACTTCGCCACGGCCCTCCTCCGCGCCGGCCTCCACGTCACCTTCCTCCACACCCACCACAACCTCCGCCGCCTCGGCGCCGCCGCCGCCGCCGCCGCTGCCATCTCGCCGCGGCTCCGCTTCCTGTCCGTGCCCGACGGCCTCCCCGACGACGACCCGCGCCGCGTCGACGGCCTCCCGGAGCTCATGGAGGGCCTGCGGACCACCGGCAGCGCCGCGTACCGCGCCCTGCTCGCCTCGCTGGTGGTGCGCGCCGCGGCGTACGGACGTGCGTCGTCGCCGACGGCATACTGCCGTTCGCCGTCGACATCGCCGAGGAGCTCGGCATGCCGGCGATCGCATTCCGGACGGTGAGCGCGAGCGCCGTCCTGGCGTACCTGTCCGTGCCCAGCCTCATCGAGCTCGGCGAGCTCCCGTTCCCCGGACGCGGCGGGGACGACGGCCTCGACGAGCGCGTGCGCGGCGTCCCAGGAATGGAGAGCTTCCTGCGGCGGCGAGACCTCCCCATCCAGTGCCGCCACCTCGCCGCGACGACGACCCACGGCGACCCCCTACTGACATCCGTGGTCGCCGCCACCGCGCACAGCCGCAACGCGAGGGCGCTCCTCAACACGGCCATCTCCCTGGAGCACCCAGCTCTGACCCACCTCGCGCGGCACATGCGCGACGTGTTCGCCATTGGGCCGCTCCACGCCATGTCCCCGGCGCCGGCGGCTGCCACGAGCCTATGGCGCCACGACGACGGGTGCATGGCGTGGCTAGACAGCCAACCCAACCAGTCCGTGGTGTACGTCAGCCTGGGGAGCCTCACGGTCATCTCCCACGAGCAGTTCACCGAGCTCCTCTCCGGGCTCCTCGCCGCCGGCTACCCTTTCCTCTGGGTGCTCCGCCCTGACTGTGAAGTTTCTGGGAGGAAACTCACGTACTCTCGCTGTACGTAGCGTTCGTGTTGATAATAGATCGGAAAAGCCCCGATCGTGGCTTATACAGGAGCGACGCTAGTTGGTTTCAATCTCCTAAACATCAGGAAGGATAATATCACATGCATGCAACAAACCTTATCTAGCTAACTAGAGATATACATGCACATGCACCGGCTGTCACATGTCACGGATAGGATGATCCTTTGGATCAGCTCAACAAACCGCTTAACACTGACATGGCCGGGAACAACCACGACGACGCGTTGCTCCGACAAGCCCTCCTCGACGTGGCCGGAGCCGGAGCGTGCGTGGTGCCATGGGCGCCGCAGCGCGACGTGCTGCGGCACAGGGCGGTGGGGTGCTTCCTGACGCACAGCGGGTGGAACTCGACGGCGGAGGGCGTCGCGGAGGGCGTGCCGATGGTGTGCTGGCCCTTCTTCGCGGACCAGCAGATCAACAGCCGCCTCGTCGGGGCCGTGTGGGGGAACAGGGTGGACATGAAGGACGCGTGCGAGAGGGGCGTGGTGGAGAGGTCGGTCAAGGAGGCGATGGAGTCCGGCGAGATCAGGAGGTCTGCTCGTCGCCTGGCGGAGCAGGTGAAGCGGGACACCGGTGACGGCGGTTCGTCGGCGTTGGAGTTTGAGCGGCTCGTCGGCTTCATCAGGGAGCTCAGCAAGGTAGACGATGAGCCACTGGTGGAGAAATGCTCTTTACTCCTGGTTTAGAATCCTTTGCAACCGGGACTATGAATGCGGGACTAAATATCGCTATCTTTAGTCCCGGTTCAAATAACCGGGAGTCCCTGTTGGTAATACCAACCGGGAGTAAAGAGGGGAAATCTTTAGTCCTGGTTGGTGTTACCAATCGGGACTAAAGAGGGCAAGCGACAGTTCCTCGAGATTCTTTTTTTTTGTTTTGTTGTTGATTTGCTTAATGGCTAGGGTTAATCCATGTATTTTCTCCCAAATCAAATGGGATGCACATCCCCAAATCAACATCCCAAATATTAAGTTACTTATACACACAAATCAAATACATCACAAATCCTACACACAGATCAAATACATCACAAATCCTAAAAAACTACACACAAATTAAATACATCACAGATTATACAAATTATATATCTCAGATCCATGCGATGCAATGAATCACAAAATCTAAAAAATTATACATCCAGTGAAACACAAATTATTAAAAAAAAACAAACAAATGAGCCGGCGCCCGGCCGCTGCTTGCCCGCGCGCAGCCGCCGCCGCGCCACCGCCTGCCTCCCCGCACGCGGCCGCGCCGCCGCCGCCTCCCCCTTCGCGGCCGCACCGCCGCCACCCGCCACCGGCCGGCTGATGGAAGACGGAGTAGAGGGGAGGAAGAGGAAGGAGAGGGGAGGAGAAGAGGAAGGGGAGGAGGGGAGGAAGAGAGGGGAGGGGAGGAGAAAGAGGATTGGATCTGAGAAGAGGAAGAGAGGGGATGTTCCAATCTTATCTAAATATCTGTTTAGGACTTAACCGATCAGATGTGAAAGAGAAATATTTACTCCCGGTTGATAACTCCGGTTGGTATGACCAACCGGGACTAAAGTGGTAATCTTTAGTCCCGGTTGGTAACCGGGACTAAAGATCCTCGACCCCCTGACATACATCTGACAGGGGATGAACCGGGACTAAAAATCATATCGTTTTTAGTCCCGGTTTTTAATGGAATCTGGACTATTGTGAAATTTGGTCGACCGACCAAAGATGGTTTCTCCACTAGTGAGCCCACACTCGGAAAACCCTTGAGCAAATGAAAACCATGAGGGACCATATATATACCTGTGCTTCCTCTGATTCCCCCATTGATCATCATGTATTTTTTCTATGATATTTTTAAATAATCATCATATTAGTATTCATGCCTTAAATTTAAGTTTGCTTTATCACCTGTGTATGGGAGTAAATGAACATTAATGCATGTATTCGTTTACACAACACTTTACAACTAATAAGTAATATCTTGGTTTTTAGTGACTAACAAGTAATATCTTGGTTGTTAGTGACTTGGAAGTAGTGGGGCATGTGTCAAGTTTGTTACCGAGGTAAACGTGGTATGGGAGAGTTATTAATATTTTTATGGTTTTAGTGCACTCTTGTATGGTTATTCCCGGAGTTTCAATCTCATTAAATAAGATGCCACATAGGCTAAACTGATGACATCTCATATGATATTTATTACTCCCTCCGTTTCAAAATGTTTGACACCGTTGACTTTTTAGCACATGTTTGACCGTTCGTCTTATTAAAAAAATTTGTGAAATATGTAAAACTATATGTGTACATGAAAGTATATTTAACAACGAATCAAATGATATAAAAAGAATAAATAATTACTTAAATTTTTTGAATAAGACGAATGGTCAAACACGTACTAAAAAGTTAACGGTGTCAAATATTTTAAAACGGAGGGAGTAAGAGATAAAAGAAATGTGTTTCATCTGTATGAAACGTGATTTACACACGGAAAATGCTTTACGTACGACCACGAGCGTCCGACTCTTGTACGACCACGGTGACGGCGTATGCGACGTCTGCAAGCTGATCTATTTGGGTTGTGATCCGAATCTTAATCTCGTTGGGCCTTCCAAAAGCCCGTCACCACCGTGGCTAATTACTCTGTCTGACCGCGTTCGTGCAATCAGTAACAAACAAATACTACTAACAGATTCCGCGTGTGCATGGAATCACCGTCTTACATGAGCTTTTAATGGATCTTCTTCAGGTGCTAATTTTCAATTCTTTTCTTAGTTTCTTCTATTCATTAGTACATTGTACAAGTCTGTTACGACTGTGAGAATATAAGTGGGTTTTCACATGCTATGCGAATGCTTATGGCCCTCAATTAATCATGCATAGCTTAATTGTTGGCATAAGCACAATCAATAACTGATAAGCTAGTATTCCTTCGATATTCGGGACAGCCTCATCCCGTCATCCGGGAAAAGTGGTGAACAAAACAATCCTACTTCCGCGCCCGTGACTCGCGCCTCACGCGCAGTAACATCAATACGCCTCACCACCTCATTTTTCCCCTTTCATTTCTTATCTCCTCTGGACTCTGTTCCTAGGGTTTGCAACGGGAGCAGTGGCGAAGCGGCGGCGCGAGCGTGTGCAGGGGTGAGGCACGCGAGCGGGGGCGAGGTGGCGGCGGCGTGAGCAGGGGCTTGAGCAGGCACGCGAGAAGGGGCTTGGCAGCGCACGAGTAGGGGCGAGGCGGCACGCAAGCAGGAAGGTGGTGGTGCCACCTCTCTTCTTGCTGGTCTTTGCTCATCCTCATCTCCTCCGTTCGTATGTATGTGTATGACTTGAACTTCTTATTAAGTTTGGTAGCTTATCCAATATGCGGAAATCCCAGAGCCTCCACTTTTCTTGGGTGCAATGAACGAGTGCTTAGGCCCAGGGCTGTAGAAATGAAGCTGTTGGAGCTTATTATGCGTGTGATTTGTATTTTAATTTCAAATATAGTCATATGAATGGTATTTTATTTTTTAAATAGTGTGATCATCATGTAGAAATATTATTTTGTAGTTGGTAGACTATGAGAGGTAACCTCACCAAGTGATGTGTGGAGGTAACTGTATCCAGGCAACCTATCTTCATCCATCCATCTAAACAAAAGTTAGGATCATTCCAACCCATCATATCCCTCAAACCAAACAAAAAACAGAGTTCGTTACATCCCTTCAACCAAACAAAAAACAGAATCATTCCATTCCTAAAAACAGGGATGGAACTGACCCATCCCATCACATCCCATCTCCAAATCAAACACATGCCTAAATTCCTTGCGGTGATTGTAGAGTCGCCAACCACCCCAATCTAGCAAAAGCTAGACCAATATAGGTTTTGATAGATTAAACCGGCTAGCGGAACCGATTTAGATAAAACAATAGATAACTACCAGTCTTGTGGGCACGCGGAAGGTTTCGGGACAAACCTACAAAGGATTCACACTCTCGCAGCGAAGGCGGACGATTTACGGCACAAATCGATAAAGATGGACAAACTAGCCTAGAACTAGATTAAAATTTTGAAAAAGCAATTCAATTGGCTAAATTAGATTGTGTGTAGATTCTCCTCCAATTCAACTAGCCTTGTCCCATATATAGGGTTGGTTGTTCTTCCTCCTACATATCCTCCTCCACGTCCAACTTGGGATGAAAACAAAGAAAACCCGAAACATAGCCTCCCGAGTAAGGAATCCCGAGACCCGACAAAAACAGACTCGGTTTCGGACTCTGTCGGTCTGACCGGCCACATGCCACTGGTCAGACCGGCCCTTAAGCAACGGTCTGACTAGACAACAAACGACGATTATACCGGCCTTATAGAGGAAACCGGCGATTTTCCCAAATCTTGGCAATTTTCCTTAATTTGAACCTATGTGCCAAATTTGGGTGTAAACACGTAGCATCATCAATGCTAGCCAATTGCATTACCCTTATTCCTCACTAATGTTGTTGCCTTCACCACCGGCGCCAGTGTTGCGCACACAACCACTGCCGATTTGACCACATGAGAGCATTAGCAAGAATGAGGATTGTGGACCTGGGGAAAAGATGGTGGAAGGGGAAGATGGATGCCCAGGATTCAGGTGTTGGGGAAAAGGAGGAGGAGGACAGCGATGCGCTGCTCCGACGTCTGTGGTGGCTTGCATCTCGCAACTCCATCTAACAGCCGCCACCAGGGGGGAGCCTACACGTCGGGTGCCTGATGGGAGAGGGGAAAAATCGGGCGCTGACATCAGTATGACGCATGCGTGCAAAACCACTTTAAACTATTTTTTTCTCTTAAATTATTTATCCAAATCATGATCCAATTGCACCATTAAATTCTTTGCAATTAAATCTTTAAAACAAGACCACACATGGATAAATTCCAACGAAAAAAATGAGCTTATTATTGAATTATTTTTAAATGTTGCACGATGTTCCACCAAGTATACCGGAATTGTTTCACTAAGCAGATCGAAAATGTTTCAATCGTTTAAATCGGGCATTGTTTCACCTTATATAAAAATAATGTTTCAGAAAATAGCGAAAGAATGTTTCAGTTCACTGCAACATTTGATCTATACATAGTGAAACATTATAATTACACTAGGGGAAACATTTTTGGTGGAATAAAAAATAAAACAAATTCCCTTAATAGAGGGTTTTCAAAATATGTGGATGATTTGTTACAAAAGAATGTTCCAATTCACTGCAACATTAGATCTATACATAGTGAAACATTGTGAGTACATTAGATGAAACATTTTTGGTGGAACAAAAAATGAAACGAATTCCCTTAGTAGAGGGTTTCCAAAATATGTGGGTTATTTGTTGTAGAAGAATGTTTCAATTCATTGCAACATTACATCTATACATAGTGAGACATTGTGAGTACACTAGGTGAAACATTTGTTGTGGAACAAGGGGAGGGACATGTGGGTGAGCCCAGGGGTGCGCGCGTGGGGGAGGGGAACGACCGATTTTCTCCCTCCCCCGATCGACCGATTCTAAGCATTACCGCCACCAGGGAGGGGACAAGGAGGAAAGTGAATGAATTAGGGTTTCTAGAGTGGACTTTGCACTTTTATACCTAGGAACGATATTTGTGGGCTTGTTTGGTGTTTGGGCTAGTCTGAAAATTTAAATTGGGCCGATACAATTTGGCTGATTTAGTATTGTCTTGGGCTGCACCGAGATGGGCGAAATTCACCGAATTTCCGCCACTCAATTTGAATCCCAGAATTTCGTGCCAAGCTCGACACCATCGGCGTCCCCTACCAGTGGCCCGTCGCGCGGACCGGCGGCGTCGGCGGCGATGGCCCCATCATCGCGCTCCGGGAGGACATGGACGCACTCCTGGTGCAGGTCTGGTTTTTTATCTGCCTTTTGTTCTCCCCCTGCATGACATGTGGCAACTTCTCTCATCGGATTAGAGTTCCTCTACCTCCCATGTTGTGCCGACTACCGAGGAGTAGGGCCGGCCACCGCCGAGCGCTTCAGAAGGGGAGGGAGGAGAGTGAGAAAGGGGTGATAAGAATTGAAGAAGAAGAAGGAATATGACATTTGCGTCCTGCATATTTTTTTAGGAAAAAGTACGAATTACCCCCCCCCCCCCCGAACTATCGTGGTCGACCGAATTACCCACCTAAACCCGAAAACCAGACATTCTTCGCCCCCAACTATACAAACCGGACAAATAACCCCCCTAAGCACAGTTTTGAGCTGTTTTCGACTTGAACTTGCACAAGTGGTGCCAACGTGGCAATCCAGTCAGCCAAGAAAATTAAAAAAACTCCTAGACCCACCTATCATCCCTCTGTTCTCTCTCTCTCTCCCTTGCTCGCTTGCCGCTCGCTCGGATGGCCGACAGCAGAGGCAGAGCTCGGGCGGCGAGCGGTGGAGGCGGAGGCGGAGGCGGAGAGAACTCGGGCGGCCAGCGGTGGATGCGGGGCGAGCTCGGGTGACCGGCGGTGTCGAGGAAGGTAGCGGCGGGGCGCGGCGATGTGGCGGGAGGACGGCGGTGGCCTCAGCAGTGGGTTGGGAGCGAATTTCAGTTACAAATTTAGTAGGTGTAGTCGCATTTTCTACTTCATGTCATTTCACTTGCTCTTCCCATCTGTGCATCTGCACTTCTGCATTGGTGCATTGCTAGTTTGCTGCTACCACTATTTTTTGCCATGGCTCCATTGCTGCACTGCACTTGGAGAGAAACTTCCTGGTGCTCACCATGTGCTGCAAATGGAGACTAGTCTTTTTCCACAATGGCAAAAACCGAAAAGGAGCTGTGCGTGCCTGCTTCTGTATCTCTTTGCTCTACATCATGCATGTGTGACTGATGGAGTGAGACGAGGACGGCGGCGACGAAGGACGTGGGTGGCGGCGACCACCAGGTTTCCACCCGTCCGGGGCCGGCGGCGCAGCCCCCGTGAGGCCCGCAAAGATTTCTATCGGCGGAGGTGGTGGGCGCGACGAACGCGGAGGCAGAGGCGGCGGTTGATGCGCCGGTGGCGGGGACGGATGGCGGCCCTGCCTAGCAGCCAGCCGGCAGCGCGGCTCGGGCATGGAAGGACCACGACGCACCGCAGCAGGCCATCGCAGCTTGGGCGCAGGAGCGGCAGGGGCGACCGAGGGCCGCAGCAGGCCATCGCGGCTCGGGCGCAGGGGCATCTAGGAGCCGCACGAGCCAGCCATCACCTCCTCCTCCATCTCCTCATCTTCCCCATCCACCTCCACTCCCCCTCTCTCCTCCACCTCCCCGAGCACCGACCGTTCACCTTCGCACTCCGTCGGGCACGCCGACCGACCGCCGCCGCACCCCCACGCGCTGCCGCCCACCGCCCACCGTCCCCGCACCGTTGCCCTCCGGCCATGCGCGAGAGAGAGAGATGCGGTATGACAGGTGGGTCCCACACTTTTTTTTTATAAATATAGAGCTGACTGGATTGCCACATATACACCATGTAGGACAAACCCACTCCGGATTGGGTCGAGGGGGGTAATTCGTCCGGTATTGAAAGTTAGGGTGAGCAATATCTGGTTTTTAAGTTCAGGGGGTAATTCGATCGACCGCGATAGTTTGGGGGGGTGTAATTAGTATTTTTTCCTCTCTTTTTTTACGCCGACTAGATTTCAATACATGCGTCACATAAAACTGAACCTGCTTCAGATTAAGCTACGATTTGTCTGGCTTAAAGAGTTTCAGATGCGGAATTTCTACTTTTATAGTTGGGTGAGGTAATTCAGATATTTTTTAAATTATAAAATATAAAAGAAGTATTACAATAGTTTTCTTTAGAAGTTGCAAAATGATTAGGCTCTATTTTTGTTGAAAATTTTGATGGCACTTAAAACAAGATAAGTTATTAGTGCACGATTAATCCACTATTAATTGTTATAAATTAAAAAAATGAAATTATGTTTTAAATGTATACTTTTGTAAGAAACTCACTGCTTAGCAATTTAAATGAAAAGCATTTAGAACCCTTTGATTTGAAGGAAAAGCATAGAAATTTAGGAGGACTTCAATTCTATTGAACTTTTATCCCTACATAGCCTTTTAAAATGAAGGATTAGATACTACTGAATTCTATGAAATTCTTATGAAATACCTCACAACATACAACTTTTGAAAGAAATTTAAGTTTTCTTCAAGTATTTAACTCTTCTCAAATTTCTATATTTTTGTTTCGATCCAATCAAATCAAATGGTTATTCCAGTAGTTTGTATGTGTTTTGCACTTATATTTATGTTTTTTATTCCTCCATTTTCTTAATTTTAAAATGTGTCTCAAAACATAGCAATGTCTAGAGAACTATACTTCCTCGTCAACCACCCTTAATTAATTTTTGTCTACTTTTTAGTTCTTGACTACGGTATTTGCATGGTATGGGGATCGTTGGTAACAGGGCATATGCAAGATTGAGGTAAAAGAGATGGAGACAAGGATTTATACAGGTTCGGGCCCCTTAGCTGACAGGTAATAGCCCTACTCCTGTTGGTCGAAGCCAGTGTTGCTCTTTATTCATCTGGATTACACAAGTACAATATTTGGGATAACCTATCTAGCTGTCGTTGACTTGGCAACATAGATAATCAACATGTAGTCGACGACAGGGTAGTCTTTCTCCTCGAGTACGGACTCGTCGAGATCAGAGATGGCGGTAGATCCCTCTTGTCGGCCTCTGTAGGCACCAGATTGGGTTTGTCTAGGCTAATCTCTGATATCGATGTCTGGCTTGTGTGTCGATATGTCTAATTGTGTCTGTTCTGTACTTCTGTTCTGTTGTATGTCCCCTCTCCTTCTAGGGGGGTCTTGTATTTATACCCATAGATATCCCCTTGTCCAAGTAGAATTAGGGAGACCAATATGGATACAATCCGAGTAATTCTTATAGTTTCCATATATAACTCTATTTGTCATTCCTTATTTGAAACTCCTTCTATATACGAGGTATAATTCCGTATAAGACTTGATATATGGTGGGCCCTGCCGAGCTTAGTTGATTACTGTTGGGTATATGTGATATCCATAATCCTGACAAATTTTACCTCCCACCACTCCCTTATTGATAAGGGACGTTATAATTTTAATTTATTTTATATCATTCTTAATCTATTAAAAGAAAAAAAAAGACTTGTTCTATTAATTCTTCCCTGAAAAGAATTTGGAGAAAAATAATTCTATGTCTATCGAGTTCTAGAATTAACCACTTTAATCCCATCTAATCCCTTTATACTAGGGATTGACCGATAAGTCCAAAAAATGCTTATATTTTTTTTACGAATTAATGGAGCATTTTAGCACTTGATGCTTCTAACATAGTCATGCCTGGGAAAAAAAAGGCATTTTAGCTTTTTAGCGTTTTAGTCCAAAAGTCATACCTGGACACGTCATTTGATCAAAAAAGGCATCGCATACATCCCAAAAAGAAAAAGCTAATTATCGAAGCAACCACACCCGTCCTAAAAAAAATACACCGACTAGGGAAGAGAACGGTCGGAAAAACCCTGCACCAATATATATATATATATATATTTATATATATATATTTATATTTATATTTATATTTATATATTTAAAATAGAATCAAAACTGTAGATCCAAGAAGGATATCGGTAATATCATTATATTAGAAACAGGATCGGTGGAACGAAATCTATCAATATTGGTCAAAAATCAAAAATTCATGTCGAAAACAATGGAGTATGGTATAGTCACACATTTAACTATGCATGAAGATGACTTTTTAACTTCATTCTTACATTGTCACACTCCACATAACACCGTTACATAATGATTAATGATATGATAATAAGTTAGACGCACAATATAAATAAAGTTCAATAATACTTCAACATCGATAAGTTCAGGAGACCAAAATTTAGCAAAGTCCAAGTGCCACATCCTAGGGCTAGGAGCGTTTTCCCCTTGACCACTTCTCCTTCCTAATAGGCTACAAACCTGTTAGACTTTCTTCATTTATGGGTTCCCGATGGGTAGGGCTGGCTAAGCCGTTAAAGAATTTTTGAAATTTTAATGAAAATTATCGGACAAATACGACTACCGATAAAATGGTCGGAAAAACCTCCATCCCATTTCCGCTACCATTTACAAAAGATATTAACATTAACTGCAGCTAGAAATCTTGTAAATTTCTGTACCATTTTCACCCCTCACACCGACGCACCATATTTGCTTCTAATCCACGATGCATCCATCCATCCCATCAACCGTCGTTTTTCATCACCAGTATGAAAAGGGAAAAAAATTGCATTATCACACACTTAATTGTTAGTCTTTTAATAACCTTGATTAACCTAGGACTAGCCACTAACCCAAACATTTCCTTTCCTGGTAAGCTCACTGCTCACCCGTGTACGCTGACGTTCGCTGCATTCCATTATCCTTTTTAAGGATTCGTTCGGCAACCGAAACGAAAGGAGGAGAGCCCGAGACGAAAGCAAAGCAAGCGAGCGCCGCCCTCACTCCTCTCACACACTGCACCACACGCCTAACCAACCACGCGAACGAAGCGCGCGCGCGCTGACGTCATCCTCCTCCGCCGCCATGGCGGCTTCTTCCTCCTCCACCACTCGCCTCATCCCCCTCCTCCTCGTCTTGACCTTCTGCCTCGCTCTCGCCTCGGCGTCGGCGTGGGCGGCGGCGGCGGGGGATGACGACCTCCTGGCGGCGGCGCGCGAGCCGGGGATGGCCGAGTGGCTGCGCGGCGTGCGGCGGCGGATCCACCGGCACCCCGAGCTGGCGTTCGAGGAGGTCCGCACCAGCGAGCTCGTCCGCGCCGAGCTCGACGCCATCGGCGTCCCCTACCAGTGGCCCGTCGCGCGCACCGGCGTCGTCGCCACGATCGCCGGCGGCGGCGGCGGCGATGGCCCCGTCGTCGCGCTCCGGGCGGACATGGACGCGCTCCCCGTGCAGGTCCGTGCGATTTTCCTTCTCTCTCCCCCCTGCATGACACGTGGCAGCGTCTCTCATCGGATTTGGACGGCCATGAATTTCTTTCTGTTCTGATGTAATACTATGATCAAGAATTTGAAGACAATTCGTTTCATCTTGGCAATAATTTGGCCACTAAAAAACAATTATTTGGGGGGAAATTCTCCCACTCAGTCTGAACTCTGAAGTATAGTCAGACTTTTTCGATCATCTTGACAATTGAGTTTAATATAATTTAATCAAATCGCCCCTTCGCCAATCTAAGAATTACGTACACGTTCTCCTTTCTCCTTGCTAAAATGGAGGCATTACCAATTTACCATTACACAGTGTATCGGAAATGATTTGGTTAGCTTATCTTCTGACTACTCTGCTTGGACTTTAGACATGTACAATGCATATCTCATTATCTCGTTAAGTTGTGTAATCTGTAGTTATACTATCTAAGCTAGCAGATATAGTCAGGCTCCCTCTGAAAAATAAAATTAAACCGAAAAAAAGCTTTTCCAAAAACCATTGTTCTATTTCTACTAAATACGGCACACGATTTTATTTTATTTTTGGGGTACGAATTTAAGGGCATGTGGTATGCACATGGTGAAACAATAATCACAACCCACAAAAAAAAAGATTGAATCATTAAAGAGATGCATATAGCCATCTACAATTTTTGTATTAATACTTAATAGCATTTGTTTAAACTGAAGATATCGAACTGTTGTCCGTTGTACTTGTAATGGTGTAGAGGGCATGGGCATTCTTCGATATATTTAATATCTGGAGTGTGGCGTATTGATGTGCTCTCATGGTCTCATTATCATTTCGGAAAAACCTTGCTACCCTTTGCTTGTTTTTCTTTTTGGGCATACTGATCTTAATTTTTATAATATCGTCATTTGGTAGGAATTGGTAGATTGGGAACACAAGAGCCAGGAAAACGGGAAAATGCATGCTTGCGGCCATGATGCTCACACTGCAATGCTTCTGGGAGCAGCCAAGCTACTTCAGAAACGCAAGAACGAACTCAAGGTACATTTTTCTTTCACAAAATTCATTGTACCATGGTGAAATTCACTTCAATATAGCCAGCATTTATAATTTGTAATTCATATCCAAACGACTGATCCAGCCTTTTGCTCACTAGTCTAGTACTGTGAGCATCCCAGAAGTTCAGGGTTTACAAATTACAGCTTGTTCAGTTCTTTGTCTTGAATTCTTGATCACCAGGGCACTGTAAAGCTGGTGTTCCAGCCAGCAGAGGAGGGGAGCGCAGGTGCCTACTATGTTCTTCAGGAAGGCGTCCTCGACGACGTGTCGGCGATGTTTGGGATGCACGTCGATCCGGCTCTTCCGGTGGGCGTGGTTGCAGCCAGGCCTGGGCCATTCGCCGCAACGTCAGGCAGGTTCTTGGCAACTATCACTGGAAAGGGTGGCCATGCTGCATTCCCCCATGACGCCATTGATCCTGTTGTCGCTGCATCCAATGCCATCCTCAGCCTTCAGCAGATTGTCGCCCGCGAAATCGATCCCCTCCAGGGCGCGGTATGCGATACGATTAACTGGTTCTAGTCCTTGATTTTTCTGGTGCTTCATTTTCAGAGTGGACATTTTTGTGGAAATTTTGAAGGAAAGGAAATCAGGATGTGTGTGGATTAGTTGGAAGGATCAGTGCAATTATTGACTTTTCCTTGTGAAATGAAATTTCAGGTGGTATCCATCACCTTTGTGAAAGGAGGAGAAGCTTACAATGTTATTCCTCAGTCTGTGGAGTTTGGTGGCACCATGAGGAGCATGACTGATGAGGGTTTAGCATATCTAATGAAGAGGATCAAAGAGGCAATTGAATTAACTACTTCTCTCCAGCATTTCCACAAATTTGAATTTTTATGTTCTCTTTCAAGCAGTACTTTAAAATTTCAAATTCACCATTTTGCTTGAATTTTCCAAACATTCTTGTTTCATATAGATAATAATCGCTTCATTGCATTTCTAGTGACAACATACATAATCCTAGAAAATCAATTCATTTTGTACTGAATTTCAAGTGTGAATAATTACGTTCAAAATTCACTCGTATCGTGGAAGGGCAGGCGGAGCTGCATCGAATTTGCAAAATTTCGAAATTTTCATCCCCTTTCAATGCGTATAACTTCAAAAGAAGTTCCAAATTCACCATTTTTTTTTGCTTGAAATTTGTCTAGTTTTCTTGTTTCAGACAGATAATCACTTCATTGCATTCAATCTTTATCTTCAAATTTCAAATCACCCATTTCGCATGAAATTTATCAAACATTCTTGCTTCATATAGATTATCACTCCATTACATTTCTAATGACAACATACAGAATCCTAGAAAATTATTCATTTTTTACTGAATTTCAACTCAGAATACTTTCGTCCGAAAATTGGACAGATAGTGGAAGGGCAGGCGGCGGTGAACCGGTGCGGCGGCGGCGTGGACTTCATGGAGGAGTCGATGCGGCCGTACCCGGCGGTGGTGAACGACGAGGGGATGTACGCGCACGCGCGGGCGTCGGCGGAGCGGCTGCTGGGCGCCGGCGGCGTCCGCGTGGCACCGCAGCTGATGGGCGCCGAGGACTTCGGGTTCTACGCGGCGCGGATGCCCAGCGCCTTCTTCACCATCGGCGTCGGCAACGCCACCACCAGCAGCGCCCGGGCGGCGCACACCACGCACTCCCCGCACTTCGTCATCGACGAGGCCGCACTCCCCGTCGGCGCCGCGGTCCACGCCGCCGTCGCCATCGACTACCTCTCCAAGCACGCGTCGTCCATGTGAAGAATTAAGGATCAGTGTGTGCTTGTGCATGCATGTGCGTGAGGCAAAGAAGTATCGTTTGGTGGTCATAGGTACAGTATGTGTAGAGGATACGTAGCATGCGTACACATTCTCGCCATACATAGGGCATGTGCTATATTTTAGTGCAAAAATTCTATTGTTTCTCAAAATATAGGTTAAATGAGATATAAAATACCTCGTTAAGTTTACGAAGGACCTCAATATAGAGGAGACGACAACCGCGGATTTCCAGAATACTTTTATAAGGAATGATCATTGAATGTGTATTCTTTCTATTAGGCTATTCCCAACCCAATAACTAGGATGGTGTCCATAGATTAAATAAGCTGCCACATAGGATGAAAAGTGATGTGGCAAGTGAATAAATAAGGAAAGAGAAGGATGAGACATGGTTTCTACACAATATACAAAACATCATGTGAGATAAGTACATTAAATTTAAGTATGGAATAGTGGTGTTTGCATTGAAAGAGTGGTGTCTAGCACTAATTTCTTGATGATGTGGAGTTTATGGAAACTATGTCTAATGTTTTGGGTTAGGAATGGCCTTATGCTTTATGTTTTGAGGAGGATTCGAACCTCCATGCTCTTTAGCACGAGAATTTAAGACGCACGTGTCTGCTATTTCACCATGAAGGCATCTTGAAAATGAATGATATTAACATGGTATCTTGAAAGTGAATCGTATTATATGAGTATGATATCAATTTAATGTGATATATGGAATATATAACAAAAGTGAAATCTTAGAGCATTTGGATCGATTGGTCATATAGACCTGAGTCAGACATCAAATAGCTTCAATTTGCAATATCCATAGCAAGCTCTTTACTACGCTTATTGGAGGGCTACTGGCCCATGGCATTCCGTCAGTCAATGGTATGGTTTACACGCTTCCTTCTCAAGTGTCTTCTTCCACACGAAGTACCCGCTCACACCAGCTTGACACGGGGTCCCTCTTGTCACGTACGATAAGCTAGCACTCACACGAGTCACATGACCACGACCACGAGTGCCTTAGCTGGACCAGACATGCACGAGGGATTTCTAGCCTACAGTAGGGGGACTTTGGGATGGGTCGGTACAAATTAAGGGAATTATGGCATGCACATTCGGCTAGGTGTTTTGTTCACCCCTACAAGACATGAGAAATCATTCATAGGGTGAACAAAACGCTCAAGCTTGTGGGTTTCCATGGCTCAGCTTAACTCGAAATCGAAACAAGTCCAAGTCCACACTTCCTAGCTTGTTTTTGAATCATGCTAAGCCCAACCTGGCTCATGGACCGCTTGTTGGCTCATTTGGCTCACGTCCTAGGTTCGTCAACCATCCAATCCTCCCCCGTCGCTGGCCACTCCATCGCTTTTAATCTTTCAGACCATGCATTGACATGAAACACACAACCAAACAATGCACTGCACAGTGCCCACATGCGTTCGCGGACCACTCTAGCATGCCATGCATCGCCCTAGCCTCACTCCTGACCAAATTGCCGTTGCTCCTCACAGAGCGACAGTCCCTCGTGGCGTCGTGCGATTCCACTTGCGCTTCCCAGATGCACGATAGAGCGAGCCTCCACCTCCAAGATGTGCGAGCCTCCGCCTCCCAGTTCACCGCTTGCCAATCTACACGCCGAGAGTCACCTGCCTCACTACATATCTTGCCCATCTAGCTCGCTCACCTAGCTCTATTCCCTGCCTTTGCCTTGCAGCTCTGCTATGCTCTGATGCGTCCGCTTCTCCTCTCGACAAACCAGCCTACCACCGCCTCGCTACCCTAGCTCGTCATCGATGAGCTCCGGCCTCAACTCCCTACACTTTTGCGTTCTCTTGCATTTTCTTCTCTAACACGGTGAGTCCCCAAGCGGGTTTCGGGCGCTCGCCGGGTGTAGGGGCGGGGCCTGGTTTGTCCCCGATGTGCTCTTCAGGGCCAGGGCCAAAGGAGCCAGTCGGGGGTCGGAAGTGGGGTTGCTCCTGGCTAACCTGCCTCCAGTTGCCAACCCTAGAGAAACCTATGAGTTTTGGTCACCACTCTCGTCACCTAGGATTAGAGTGAGACGGCCATTGTTGATCTCGACTCGAGTCACCAATTCACCACTCTCCTCATACAGTCCTCAAACCTGTTTGGGGGAATTTAATATTCTAAGAAACAGCTAGTTGGTAACCAACTTCTAAGAATCTGGAAAAACTAGATTTCCTAGCTTCTGGTTTATAGTTCATTTTCTTATTCTACAACTACACACATTCTCAGAATTTGAACGAAAAGTTAAACCATTTGAAAGAGCTTCTATTTCTACTTTTAAAAGAAGCTGTTGCTGATGTTAGAAGCTCCCTAAAAGGCCTGGCTTCGTGGTGCCACCCTTATTGGGCTTGACTGTCAAAGCTGTGAGCCGGTGAGGGCCTTGACGCCCAAGAACTCAAAGGGCAGGAGCAAACCCACAATCCTACTCACTCAACTTGGCTTGACGCCTCAGCCCCAGCCCATCCACGTGTAAAGCGGTTGGCGTGTACTCCCTCCATCCCAAAATATTTGACGCCGTTGACTTTTTTAAAATGTTTGACCATTCGTCTTATTTAAAAAATTTAAGTAATTATTAATTCTTTTTCTATCATTTAATTTATTGTTAAATATATTTTTACGTATACATATAGTTTTATACATTTTAAAAAATATTTGAATAAGATGAACGGCCAAACATGTTTAAAAATATCAACGGTGTCAGGGAGTATATTATACAGGGACCACCGCTCTACCCCCAGCCCATCCACGTGTAAAGCGGTGGGCGCGGACCATGCGATGTCACAACCAAACCAGATAGAGAGATCGGTAACCAGTGCCATATCATACAATTCAGGTGAAGCAAACCGTCACTCACCCACTCACTCGCTGCAGTTTGTTGCCTACTCTGCCGGCTTCGATGCTCACCTCGATGGCGCCGCCGAATGCTTCTGCTCGCCTCCTCCTCCTCGTCGCCGCCGCCGCCGCCGTCGTCCTGTTCGCCCACCTCCCCACGACGACGACCGCCGCCTCGCCGGCGCTGAAGGCGCTCGGCGAGGACCTGCTGGCCGCGGCGGGCGCGGCGGGGTTCGCCGGGTGGCTGTCCGGGCTGCGGCGGCGCATCCACCAGCGGCCCGAGCTGGCGTTCCAGGAGGTGCGGACGAGCGAGCTGGTGCGCGCCGAGCTGGACGCGATCGGCGTCCCCTACGCGTGGCCCGTCGCACGGACGGGGGTCGTCGCCACCATCGACGGCGGCGCCGGCGCCGGCCCCGTCGTCGCGCTCCGGGCCGACATGGACGCGCTCCCGCTGCAGGTAGGTTGGGTGATCGTACTACCGTATAGTAGTAACACTAACATATACTATATTATTTGCCTTGATTAATTGTGTGATTCTTCGTTTGGGAATAATCATCTTAAGGTAGAGTCTGAATTGATTTTCATTAGAAATGATAGAGAAAAGAAGCTAAATTGGAAGGATTTTACTTTGTATTAACGCTCTTTGGAATGAATAGTCAAACTATCGATAATGATTAGTACTCTCACCGTTTTATATTATAAGTTGTTTTGACTTTGGTTCAAATCAACTGCTTCAAGTTTAATTAAATTTATAGAAAAAAAATAGTAATATTTTTGACCGAAGATATATTTATTATAAAAATGTATTTAATTATTAATTCAATAAATCTAATTTGGTAATATAAATATTACTATATTTGTCTATAAAATTAGTTAAACTTGAAGCAGTTTGACTTCAAAACATCTTATAACCTAAAACGGAGGGAGTATGTGTTAAACAGTACGGATATTTTTTATTTTATTTTACCCCCCGAGAGAAAACAGCAACATAGTGAGATGTGAATATTGGTTATAGAAAAACAGTAAGTAATGTAGTTTGGATTATGTATCATTAGCAAGAGAATATATATGTCCGGTTTTGAAAAAAAAGGCAAGCGAATATGTCGGGACAAATCTTAATTTATGAAAGTGAAAGGCAGAGAAATGGTTAAGGAAATCCCTTTCATTGATTTTTTTTTCAACTTTACACATGCCAAGATTAATTGAGTTATTAAGAGATTGTTTTTATATGCTAAATTGCTAATGGTTGTCTTACTTGCGGTTTTTATGATGCAAACGTTGTTGGAGACTTGGAGTTATGTTCAGTGTCTGCTAATGATTGTTTTCACTTGGTTTTTATAATGTAAACATTGCTGGAAACTTGGAATTAAGTTCACTGTCTGCCGATGATGTTCCACTTGGGAATCTTTTTTATTGATCTGTTTCGGCTTTAAATTACCTGAGGTTGAATCAATTTTCGACTTTATAATATGGACTTGAAAATGACAACCAACAAATCTCATTGCATCAGCCAAACACAAACTCTTGCCATCAGTATTGTTCAATTAGTTTGTCTTGACGCATCATAAAACCAAGTGAAACAATCATTAACAGACACTGAACATGACTCCAACAATGTTTGAACAAATTGTCTATTTTCTGTCACATAAAAGAGCATTATACATCATCAAACAAATAAAATTGACGTCAAGAAAATAAAGTTATGGTACCATTATTATTAGGGTTTTATTATTACTATTTTGAGATAAGTAGTATTTTCTCTGGTCCCATAATTCTTAACGTTTTGAATAAGGTTAAAGTTATACACATCAAAACTTTGACTATCAGTAACTTTTAAAATATATAGTTAGAGATATTAGAACCCAATATATAGATTAGTCTTACAAAACATTTTAATGGAAATAAACATTTACTTATTTCTCATGTGGGCATGAGAAATGCGATTCTTCTATGAAAAAGAAAGCATTGTTCTAATCGAATTTGATGCCCTACAATTAAGGACGAAATGACACGTGGAAATAGACGTGATGTATTGTGTTTTGGTCGTATCAAGGGACGGATTCGCAAACGATATTTCGGCAGCAAGAGCAACCTCGTATGAAATTGTATATTCTTGTTTTGAACGAAAATATGAAATTGTATATGAGCGTAGTCTATTTAATTTCAGCATCACAAATATCATTACTTATTCCTTGTTGGTAACTGTACCCAGGGGCGGGTCCAACGTAGGTGCAGGGGGACTCGAGTCCCCCCTACACCCACAAGACCCATGGATACCCCCGGAACACCCCCTTCAATTTTCTCATCATGAATGATAGGTTGAAGAAACTGTGTAATTGAGCCCCCCAATTTTTTTATTCCTGGATCCGCCCCTGACTGTACCAACTTATTTTCATTGACTATGATATTTCCTTTTGGCAGGAGCTCGTAGACTGGGAATTCAAGAGCCAGGAGAAAGGAAAGATGCATGCCTGTGGACATGATGCTCATGTGACAATGCTTCTTGGAGCTGCTAAGCTACTTCAATCTCGGAAGGATGAATTGAAGGTAATCTGCAAACCAAGTTTTTCCAAACATATGCTTAATTATATAGCCATGGTGAAATTAAATTCAGATATTTGTGTCCCAACAGCGAGTCTGTCAAAATGTCAAATAAAACGTATAGCGGCATGTATTACAAGTAAATGAAACAATTGGTAGCTTGAGAAATTTTATCATTTTATTAAACAAAGATGGCCAAATTTGAATCTTCTTTGCCTTTCATTTCTGAAGGCTCGTCAGTCATCACTCAATCTGGTTCAAAAAAATCAATCCAAGGACATATATTCTTCTATTATCTGAAAACAACGTTATTGAGGCCAACTTAAGAGTGCGAGGTGAATGAATCCATGTGGCTCTTGCTCAACGTTCAAGAACTTCCGAATAAAATTTCCGAAATTCTCTGTCAACCATTTGGTCCTAGTATGATATGTCCCTCCAACCAATAATTTTGAATTTGTTTGAATTCAGCCAAAAAAAATCCCTTTGTTCCATTTTAAGCATAGCCATGAGTTTCCATGTTTAATTTTGATCGTCCGTCTTATTTGAAATTTTTTATGATTAATATTTTATTATTATTAGATGATAAAACATAAATAATACTTTATGTGTGACTTATGTTTTTTTTTAATTTTTCAAAACAAAATTCAAATAAGATGGACATGGAAACTTAAAATGAAACGAAGGGAGTATATAATTTCAGTGAAATGAGTGCAAATTTAAAAATAATTCGTTTGAAATACCATAAATTGGCATAATTCCCTCCATTCTGAGATGAAAAAACCCTGCTCTTTTTGCTTCCATTTACAGGGCACTATCAAGCTGGTGTTCCAGCCAGCCGAAGAGGGCCACGCCGGGGCGTACCACGTCCTGGAATCGGGCCTCCTGGACGACGTCTCCGTCATCTTCGGCCTCCACGTCATCCCGAACCTCCCCGTCGGCGTCGTGGCGTCCCGGCCGGGGCCGTTCATGTCGGCGGCGGCGCGGTTTGCCGCGACGTTCACCGGCAAGGGCGGCCACGCCGGCGTCCCCCACGACGCCGTGGACCCCGTCGTCGCCGTCTCCTCCGCCGTCCTCAGTCTCCAGCAGCTGGTCTCCCGGGAGACCGACCCTCTCGAGGCTGCTGTAATGTGACCGATCGATTTCATTAATTTGCTCTAATTGTGACTTTGCATATATATAAGTAGCAGTAATATTATAATAGGAAGAAATTAATTATACTGTTATTGTGCAGCAATACAATTTTGCTTCTGTGACATTGTGAAATCTAGAATGACTTGTGGATCACCTGGTTGCTGTGGATTAATTAATTTCAGGTGGTCTCTATCACAATACTGAAAGGAGGTGATGCTTACAATGTCATTCCTGAATCTGCATCGCTGGGAGGCACCTTCAGGAGCATGACTGATGAAGGCCTGGCATATCTGATGAAGAGGATCAGAGAGGTAAACATGTCTCACTGCAAACTTAGAAAATATTGCAACAATTCCACTGTACAGCTTAAATCTATCCATTTATGAAATGTTTAGATCATAAAACCCTGTATTATATGTCACATTTTTTTATTTTTGGGTTTCATATAACCTTTTAAGGTTTTCCAAAAAATAAATATAGAAATATAAAAAATAGTACTTTATCTAGTTAAAAATATTTGATGCCAGGACCACTAATTGCAGCAGCCGACGTCAAATATTTTCGACTAGAGGAAGTAAACAGATTTAACCGTGGTGGCAGGGTTCAAAATTTCAGAATGAATTTAAATTCGGTCATTTCGGAACCCCCGATACGATAATATTTCGGCTGAAATTTTTAAACTTTTTATTTTTTTTTGTGAATTTGTAATATTTTGTTCAAATATAACCAACATTTGTTTAAAATTTCGGAAATTTTGGACTAAAATTTTAGTATATCGGTGACCTCTGGTAGAATCGGCCGAACAGAAAATTTGAAACCTGCGTGGTGGTGATCACTAATAATGATTAATAATGAATAATGCTTGTAATTAAATTTGGAAGATCATCGAAGCCCAGGCCGGCGTGAACCGCTGCGCCGCCGCCGTCGACTTCCTGGAGGAGGAGCTCCGGCCGTACCCGGCCACCGTGAACGACGACGGGATGTACGGCCACGCCAAGGCGGTGGCGGAGGCGATGCTCGGCGAGGCCAACGTGAGGGTCGCCGCCCGGAGCATGGGCGGCGAGGACTTCGCCTTCTACGCGCGGCGGTCGCCGGGGGCCTTCTTCTTCATCGGCGTCGGCAACGAGACCACCATGGGGCCCGCCGCCGCCGTCCGGCCGGTGCACTCGCCGCACTTCGTCCTCGACGAGCGCGCGCTGCCGGTCGGGGCGGCGCTCCACGCCGCCGTCGCGATCGAGTACCTGAACAAGCACGACTGCTCGTGAATCTCGTGTGTGATCCAATTGAAATATACTTCGTATCAAGCAATCGATCGACCTGTGGTGAAAATAATTAGAAAAAGAAATGAGTATTTGTCATAGCTTGCTGGCTAGTGAATACTATGTGTGTGATTTATTACGGTATGTGATAGTTTGGGCATTTTATATTGAATAAATTTTGCTGGCATAAATTAATTAATTTGCAACCGAGTACGTAAAACATTGATTCAGGAGCATAAGAGCATGACTCCAGCGTTAAAAAATACACCCTACCTCACCAAAATGAATTAACTTTTTATATACGAACATGAACACTACCTATATTCAAATGTATTTATAAAAGTTGATTTATTTTAAGATGGAGTGAATATACCGCATTATATGCATGTATCGCTCTCAACTCTAAGGCTGTGTTCTTTGCTAAGGGTTCCCAACCCCTCTCTCTCGTGTTCCGCGCGTACGCTTTCAAACTGTTAAACGGTGCATTTTTTGCAAAAAAAAAGTTTCTATATAAAAGTTGCTTTAAAAATATTCAAAATTAATCTATTTTTGGAAAAAAAAAATAGTTAATACTTAATTAATCACGCGCTAATGGACCGCTCTGTTTTCCATGCGTACTAATAAAATCTGCTCTATGAATATTTATATGTAGTAATAAAATCCCATTTGTTTAATAGATTCTTTATAACCTGCTAAGTACTTCGTAGTTGTTTCTGTGCTAACTTGTGTGTATAGTTATAAACCCTGATAAAAGATAAATAAAGATAATTATATATGGTGTTATATGAAAAGACAAATTTGTCTAGTTTCACTATGAAACTTTGGTTATTAAGGCTGAGTTCGGTAGTGCCTTTTCTCATCCTTCACACCCTCGTTTTTCGTGCATCCTTCCCAAACCGCTAATATATGTTTCAAAAATATATATATATAGGAAAGTTGCTTAAAAATATATTAATCTATTTTTTATTTAATACTTAATGAGTGAATTGCAATTTCAGCCAAATTTTATTATCTATGTTTCACTTTGGGTCACCCTTAACCAATTTGTTCACTTTGGACCGGGTATGTTCGCTATTTTTTTACCACCCCCAAATAATTTCTTCAGCATCCATCAACAATCTCAATCAAATCGGTTTCGATACATCGGTGAATTTTCCCGTCTATATGCAAGCTATATGTTAACCAAAATAGAGATAACATAAATAGTAAGTCCCTTCACAGTGCACTGATGTGGCGAGTTACCTTATTGGTCCAGCTAGGCTCAATGTTGACGTGGAGAAAAAAAGAGGTGGGTCCCGTGTCTTTGCAAGGCTTTCGTGTCCTAGCGAGGGTCCGGTTCCCTCACGCCAAAAAAAGAAACTGTGCCTCTCTTTCTATGTGCGTCTGCTGCTTCTCCGTAATATAGTGGGGCCCATATGAAGAAACGTTGCACTGGATGGTCTGTTGCTCTGTGCGTGTCTTCATCTCCTATTTCTTAGGGGGCAGTTGGAAAGATAGACTAAGGGCACGGTACACTGTGAAGGGCCTAAAGAGAGTTGAGTGGTCTAAATCGAAAATATGGCAAAGTTAACCGGTCCAAAGTGAAAAATTTAGTGTAGAATAATTCAAAGTAAAATTTTAAAGATAAAAATTGATACAAACTGTAATTTACTCGTCATGCGCTAATGAATCGTTTTATTTTTCGTGGCGGAAGGAAAGTTCTCAACCTTCGCAATCAAACGCAACCATCAAACCCAACCTAAAGGTAGTGAAAATGAAATTTACTTTCGAAAAAGAAAAGTAAAACAAGCTACTCCACTCGCCATGGCCATGGCCGCCTCCTCATCCTCGTCTCCCCTCCCTCTCGCCCTCCCCCTCCTCCTCCTCCTCCTCGTCCTCTTCGCGTCCCACCCCTCGCCGCACGCGGCGGCGGCCGCGGCGGATGCGGCGCCCGCGGGAGGCGGCGGCGGCGGCAGCGGCGGCGAGCTCCTGTCCGCGGCGCGCGCGCCGGGGTTCGCGGCGTGGCTGCGCGGCCTGCGGCGGAGCATCCACCGGCACCCGGAGCTGGCGTTCGAGGAGGTCCGCACCAGCGAGCTCGTCCGCGCCGAGCTCGACGCGATCGGGGTCCCCTACGAGTGGCCCGTCGCCCGCACCGGCGTCGTCGCCACCATCGCCGGCGGCGACGGCGCTGGGGCCGGGACCGTCTTCGCGCTCAGGGCGGACATGGACGCGCTCCCCCTGCAGGTACTCTCTCCTCCTCTTGATTAGGATCGTGTGATTGATTGATTGATTCCGGGTGGATTCTCTTGGGAGGGAGAAGATGAACGGCTAATTTGGGTTGTCGGGGATAATTTCCAGTGCATTGGAGTACTGATTAGATTCAGGTTGTTTCAAATTATTATGTCAAATCTGATTGGTTCGTGATGCATTGACCTCTGCTTAGTGAAATGGAGCTTACTCACTGTAGTGAAAATTAGTCAATTGCTGTTACAAAATTATCTCAATTATATAGCATAACCGAGCCTGTTAGTTCGTACAATATATTCATTAACAACTCGGATGACCCAACAAAACATTGATAAATGGATAACAGAAGGAATTAAAGGCAAAATTGATGATCAGGCGTGCATCTCTGGCCTCTGCTTTGGGCTAGGCTATCTTGCATTCCTCCATGAGGTGCTAGAGTTTTTGCATTTCGTTGTTGTTGTGTAATCTGTTTGGATACCACGTGATGTTTACTCGTAACTTTATTGAGCTGTAAAAATACTTATACCAACCAATTGCCAGTTATCAGTACACTATAAATCTATTGCATCATCGAATCGGATGGGCAATATATATGGGAAACAAAGGACAGTAGGAAAATTGGTGTACTACTAGTGTTGTTTATACTTGCGCCTTCTAGATAAACTGAAGCGTGTTTAAGTGCAATCTAGATAAACTGAGGCATGTTTAAGTGCAATCCTTCCTCCAACTTGAGTTCAATGTACCGTGACTGACATTCTGACAAGCAAGAAAATAATTACTCCATCTGATCAAGAATCATATGATGTTTTGGACAATGGTATAGTCTCCAATATCTATCTCTTGCACTGTTTTATATGGATATATGTAACTAAAAGAATAAAAGATCTATATATATTATGAAAAATTTTGATAAGGACAATGGTATTTTTCATATAATCGACCTAAATTGGCTTATGAAAGATAAAAGATAGTAAAGTTTGATTATATGCTTTCTAAAACAATTTGTACTTGATTGAATAACAAAATATTGGAACAAGTGTGTCCAAGATTGAATTTTCTACTGATATTGTAAAGGAGATGTTACTTGGATCTAAATGTATTCCATAGCTTTTGCACAAAAAGAACTCTCCATCTAACAACACATGTTACACTTTCGTAAGTACTCTTCATATTTTATTAACACTTCTATTTTCTCGCTGTGCTCACTGTTTGGAAGGAATTGGTAGATTGGGAACACAAGAGTGAGGAAAGCGGAAAGATGCATGCTTGTGGACATGATGCTCACACCACTATGCTTCTAGGAGCTGCCAAGCTACTTCAATCTCAGAAGGATGACCTTAAGGTACTGACCATTGTGCATTGACCGTAACTTGTCAACTTGATTACTTGAGCTTGATCCTAGCAAATTAGGATCATTATACAACGTAGTCACTTGGGCAGAAAATCTTAGGGTGACCACTGACAGTACTGATAATCGCTTGTGCTCATTAAAATGTGTACAGAAAGGCTTCATTGTTCATAAGATAAGTTGAGTTGATGCATCATCAATCCACTGACAAGATTCCTGTAATCTCCCAAACACTGGATATAAATCTAAAATAATCTTATTTGATAACCAATGGAGGCCTTTCATGTTTTCTGTTAGGGTACTGTGAAGCTCGTCTTCCAGCCAGCAGAGGAAGGTTATGCTGGCGCACGCTATGTTCTACAAGAAGGCGTGCTAGATGATGTGTCAGCCATTTTTGGCTTGCACGTTGATCCAAGAATTCAAGTAGGCACCGTCACCTCCAGGCCAGGGCCATTTCTTGCAGCATCAGGCCGGTTTCTTGCAACGATCACTGGGAAGGGTGGTCATGCTGCAGGCCCACACAACGCCGTCGACCCCATCCTCACTGCATCCTCTGCCATCGTCAGCCTCCAGCAGATCGTAGCCCGGGAAACTGATCCTCTTGAGGCTGCGGTATGTGTTTGACTGCATCGCATATACTCTCCTAATTTCCAGCCTACCTTATGTCACCTGATGTCATAGTCTGTTCATCAGATGTGTTCCTTGGCAGTAAATAACATCACCATCTCCTTTCGCTACTGTCAGGTGATCTCCGTGACATTCATGAAAGGAGGCGATGCCTACAATGTCATCCCAGAGTCGGTATCTTTCGGTGGCACCTTCAGGAGCTTGACATCAGAAGGCCTCTCATATCTCAAGAAGAGGATCAAAGAGGTAAGCATGAGCAAAGAAGCACTCTTCTCCAATCTATCTCAAGCTCTGAACACAGCTTCATCAGAATTAGACAAAAATAGTCCTCCCCAACAGCTTACAATTCTCCACTGCCCTTGTAAATCCATAACCGCAAATGATCAATCAACAACATGACAAATGCTTCTCTGTCAGATCGTCGAAGCGCACGCGACCGTGCACCGGTGCACCGCCACCGTCGACTTCATGGAGGAGGAACGCATCCCGTACCCGGCCACCGTGAACGACGAAGGGATGTACCGCCACGCCAGGGCCGTGGCCGTGGACGTGCTCGGGGAAGACGGCGTCAAGGTGGGCACCCCGTTCATGGGCAGCGAGGACTTCGCCTTCTACGCGCAGAGGTTCCCGGCGGCGTTCTTCATGATCGGCGTCGGCAACGAGACGACCATGCGGAAGGTGTACCCGCTGCACTCCCCACACTTCGTCGTCGACGAGGATGTGCTTCCGGTAGGAGCCGCCTTGCACGCGGCCGTCGCCATGGAGTACTTGAACAAGCACGCATTTACGGCTACGTTCTAAGGCCTCCTTTTCATGTAAACATGGGGATTTCATATGAATTTCACAGAAAATGGTGTAAGTTCTTGTAAAAAAAAACATGGGAATTTTGTGTGTTCCAAAGGAGGCCTAAGTCTTTCAGTGGCTTTTGAAATACTCGTGTTTTCTAAGTTGTAGATTTAGTACAAGATTTTGCATAAAGGTAAATAATAATAGAGTGAATTACAGTGCAAAGCACAAGCGAGCTGCCAGCCAAAGTTAATTTGCCCCTAGTAATAATAAGTATCCAAAATTTGACTGAATTAATGGTTTATTCTGGCCCGGTCGGTAGTAAGAAATTTGCTATTTTGTCATATTCATCTTGGCAATGCATTGTCATAAGTGAAATCATCTGTTAATCATCATGACTTGTTTTTTCAATACTAAATATATGTACGAAACTGGCTCACAATTTCGCATGCGACCAAAACCAAAGATTTCAGATATGTATGGAGCAAAACTTTTCTGCACCAAGGATATACAACACATAATATTCCAACGTGCAGATAGATTCAGTTCGTCTTTACAGATATGAAAATGGTACTTAAATACAAACTCCGCCAATGGAGGATGGTGCACCTATGGACTTACACCAACAAATATACAGTAGCATGTCCTGCAACTTGAATAGCTGACGAAAGATGATAGAAGTCCCTAGTCAAACATAAACCAAGCCTGTTGGAAGGAAGGCTGTCTTGAAATGTTAATTCTATCCTTTCACAATCTCCCGGTAGACTAAATCGATGAAATCATCATTCTGGCATAAAGAACACTCATAACAGTTAATAATTGTCTACCCAAAGATGCAGGAATATAGCTAGCAAATAAAGGTATAAAGTGTCACTGGCTTGTAACTCTAACTTAGAGAGACATCTTAGTACAACGGGAATTATGCACAAGACAATGAAACAGGAAATGTCTATGATTTAAGCAAAGCATGAGGCCCTGCAGGATGCCTCAATTGAAGCCTTAACTCAATTCATCACAAAATTTAACTCTGAGAGCCAACAAAGATAAATCATGAAATGTGCATAAATTGCTATTGCAGCATACCTCAACAAGCCTAAGTAATGCATCCCTGACTTTTTCTCTGGACAGTACTGGGCTGTACACCGGTGCTGATGCAAGAGATGGGGATGGATTTGGTGGCGGAAATGGTTGAAGTAACGGAGTCCCATATGGTGGAGAAGGCGATGCTGTAGGTAACGGAAAGGGTTGAAGCAAGGGAGCACTGTGTGGTTGCTGAGTGATGCGAGGATGTTGAGGTGGAGCAGTAGGTGCCACAGGATTGGTGCGGGCCATTGTTGTCTGAGAAGATGTCAATGGTGAAAAAAGTGATGGATTTAGAAGGCTTGCTGACCTGTTGACCACAGCACCAGTTCCACCATGAACATCAGGGGATATTACTGATGAAGTTTGAGAAGGGAGCAAATGGTGCACAGCTGGAGGCTGAGATATACTGATACTTGTTGGTGCATGTGAAGATAAAGGAGTAGATCCAAAAGATTGATTTAACTGTCCTGCAACTGATAAACCAGAGGCACTGCCAACATTTATAGCTCCCTGTTCCAAGAGACCCAAATTTGTTAGACTAAAAATACAAAATTCTATCTTGAAGAAATTATAGAACGCTTCCATTGCAAACAAGCTAGATTAGAACGGAGATGAGCAGATCATATGAATATATGATACAAAGTGAAGCTGCAGAGAAAAAGCCTCATTTCAAACTTTCCATACACTGAAGAATGCAGATAACGGATCCTCCTGGACATGGGTAGTAGCTGGTATGATATTCGATGTTTGAGGCTCTAGTGGACCTTCAACCAAAGTAGGTGCTGCTTCCAGCTCTTCAAATTCACTGAAATAAGATCGATGACAGTATAACACTATTACAATAACATAGTTTATGGCAAATATACATTCAAAAGCAACAAATTAAGGGAATGGTTTACAATACAGCAGTAAGATACAATATTAAATGAACACAAAGCAGTAGCCACGAGTCATGTTAATCTCATTTTAAATTGAATAATTGATCGCATGCTAATCTGAGTACAGAAATGTCTGGCATGCAAAAGGTTGCAAGAAAAAGGATGGAATCCGTTCAACACACATGCCTTCAGTAACTTCTACTGTACATATCTTCTGGTTAAAAGATTCAACCACCTGATCTATGTGAAACCTCAAGTACTACAAAATTTTCAACTACCTAAATAGAAGCATTCTAAATCTTGTTTGATAAACCAACAAATATTCTTAAAAGCTCCATAACAAAGTAAAGTAATATTTCATATAATCATGTTGATTAGCACAACTTCTACAATCAAATCAAGAAATGTAGCGCAAAAAGCGCAAAACACACATTTAGGTACCTTTTAATAGAGGGAGCCTTTGGCTTCGGAGTTGCTTTGGAGAATGCATTCAATATCCTTCACGATCAGGAAGTGAAAAAATAATATAAGAAAGTGTGAAGCCTCGACTTATGAAACAAGCACATTGCTACTAGATCATTTAGCCTTAAACTTATGCAAGCTCTAAATTCTAACTAAACTGACCTAAAGTGAGCAAAGTAAGAAGTTAGCTTATCAATGATGTAGAGATATTCTTTTATTGTACCTCCCATCCACGATAATTTTAACTTTCAAAATGTCATATAATTGATATACAATTTTAACTATATAATAAAAGCAAGATAAACTGGAAGTGTGACATACTGACAAAGTGAAGATTGGTTCTGTTTAACATTGTGGCAGTTTAGAAAAATAATTCTTTTTCTATCGTTCAGGTATAACAGTTAATTAAGCCGGTTACTGTAATGACAGATTCCACAATGTAGAACAACAAAAGCAAGCCGGCCCTGATATATTTGGCATGCAAACTACAAATTATACAAGTCAGAACAGAAAATCACACGATATACCATATGGAGAGATGAAATATTTTTCTTACTATTTGTATAACCAGCTATATGAGTACTACTGTGGACCAAAATATTTAATCCCTTGCATATTATCATTCCTGTGAGACTATGACTCACATGTCCTTTTTTCAGTGACCCGTAGACACTGCTCATCTCATACAATCATGTTGCTTGATTATATTACCCCTTTGGGCTGAACTTTTCAGGAGTTGGCATTAGAAAGTGATGTCTACAAGGATAATTTATGTTGATGTAACTCGATATACACATTTTCTCAAAACAAATAGTTGATATTTCAGGTCATTCTACATATACAAGCAGCAAGATACATGAACCAGACAATCTACAACAAGAAACTAGGAGCACGGTCCACAAAGACACTAAAGTCTAAAAGGACTAAAGGAGCATTATTTGTAGGAAATACGAATTTACCTGCTAAAAAGATTTGCAACTTCTTCGCATTCCTGGGAATTATAAAACCAAATGCCAATAACTTCTTGTGCAGCATTGCGATACATTATATAGGGAACCTGAAGCTGATATTCAAAATCTCCCAGGAGATCTTCAACTAAATTATCTGTTGATAAGATGAAGGAAACCAAATACTAAGAAATCAACATAGAAGAAGAATGTGTCTTGTAATACAAACAAAAAAGCTCCCAAAACGCTGCTTGACCCTAGAGTTTATGTGGTTTGTAATATGAAGTTTCTACAAAAATATCAACTGTTTTGTAATGAAGCTCATCAGAGAGCTGCTAGCATTGAAGTTTAACTATTTTTCAATGAATAATAATTCACAAATAAGCCGATACAAGTTCCCAAATGCACATTGATAATGACAATCATGTGTGACAAGTGAGATTGACAATTTCACGCACAGGTTTTACAAAGGTTGTAACATAGCCAATTATAGAAACTTCAACTCTAAGAAAACCAAGAAAATTTTCATGCAGCGTACCTGTATTACGACGATTCATGACAACAAACTGGAATCTGGGCTGCGCATTCCTGCATTGCAAAAATGTAATGGTATTCAACACAACTAGTAAATGTGATTCATTGGTACTTTAATACATTTGCATTATTTGATGATTAAGAGACAAGATATCAAGACATATGGTTAAGTAAAATGTTGGTTCCTACATTCTCTTTGCAAAAAGGGCACATTGCACCATTTGAAGTATATCCAATCATTTGAAGGATGTGGTATATCCATGGTGTACTGTATAAAAATGAGAATTCAGTCATTCACTATCAATATGGACTAAGCGGTGTTTCTTTCCTTTGTTGCTCTAGATACCAGGGATGCATTTCATTTGAAAATTCCCATGTTCCACAGTTACATGTGCACTCTATCTGTTCCTTTTTTTTTGGGTATTTTCAGACTGTTTCATCATCCATTCTCCAAATTGGGAACACTTGAACCCCTAAGCACTGAAATGAATTCAAAACCAAATGTGCTGACAAAGCATTGCCAAGAAGTGTAAATGCTGTAATGTTGGCAGAATACAGTTGCAAAAAAGCACCATCCCCTGCCAAAGTTTTCTATCTCATCTGGCAATCTTCTAATATCAAAATTAGTATTAATATAATTGTGTACTCTTACACAAAACATACTTGGGCATGTAATGCACCAAGAGAAGAAAAATCGACCAAATGATTGCAATGTTTACAATTAGGACTTTATTCACCAACCACCGAATATCTTTACAACCCTTTTGTTTTGTAATAAATAAAGATCTTGACAAAATGAACAGGGGCCACTTCAACGCTGTCATTCACTGTGTTAAAGAAATAGTTGTAGCTATAATGCTATATTGAACGAAAATTCATGAAAGCTACCTCCAAGATCCTCTGCTAAGCAAACCTACTAATCAGCACTAGGTTCTGCATGATATTGCATTCATCATTCTAATCAAATGGCACCCAATACGTTCAACAAACTCAATCACTAGAGGCGTGTAACACCTTTCATCTAACAGGTAAACAGTAACCGAAAACTAAAATCAGCAAATTCAGACACAAGAAGGAAACAAATCCTGGAACGAACCTCTTGACAACGAAGAGCGACCCCTCCACATCCTTCCGGCTCTGCAACGACAACAAATCAGGCCAAATCGACATGAAGCACATAACCAAGCGAAGCAACCGAGCCACGAATCGAAGAGATAACAAAAAAACAAAAAGCCATCTTACCCACTGGTTGAGGTTGGTGTCGAAGTCGTAGAGCGTGACGTGGCCGGCGGTGATGAGGATGTCCTCGACGGCGGGGTCGAGGCGCTGGAGCACGGTGATGTTGAGCACCCGCGTCCCCTCCTCGTCCATCGCCAGGTTCGGCGTCACCTTCGCCCTCCCGCCGCCGCCGTGCGCCATGGACGCCAGCGCCGCCTCGTGTAGAGGGAAGAGGAGGAGGAGCAAACCCTAACCCTAATGGCGGCGTCTCGCTGCTTCGCTTCTAGGGTTTGGAGGACGGATCGAGAGGAGAAGTGGGCGATTCGATTCGGATGATTCGAGGAGTCGATTTGGCTAATTTTGGCCGCGCGTGGGAAGAGAGAGAGAGAGAAGGAGAAGAAGCGGAACTCGGAAGAAATAAAAAGGGATTTAATTTTTTGGATTTTTTGGAGTTAAATTGAATTGAATTAGATTAATATTAATTCGGAAATTTGGATACGAGGAAAGGGATGTTGTGTGGTGTTGTGTTGCGTTGTGTTGTCAGCCGTATCTCTGCTGTTGGATATCCCGGCTGCACGTGAGACGTCACTTGCTTTATTTTTTTTCCTTTTAAAAGAAAAGCTCGAGAAATTTTTTTGTGACTAAATTTGGTGGAACCCATCAGGGCCAGCACTCTATGCTTATCTTTACTATTATAAAAATTAAAGATATTTTTGCCAGTATTTTACGTCATCCGTGTATAAGTCGGTTTTTAATTTCATTTGCTTTTGGAAATATATATCCATATTTGAGTTGGTTTTTAAAATCATTCACTTTTAATAATACAGAAGGAATCATATAAGAAATCTGTTTAAAAAAACTCACATGCTAACTTGAAACGATTGGACTCCTAACTACATCTCATGATTTTATAAAAATATATATATCAAAACGAACTCCCACAGTGAATTTCATATTAAGTAAACCATATAACAATTAGACTTTACCCGTTGCAATGCACGGGCATTTTTCTAGTTAAGACAAAGTATAAAGAGATAGAACGATAAAGTAATATATCCCTAAATATAAGATAGATTTATAGTTCAAAAAAAATACAAAGTCTGTAAAAAATATTCAAACTTAGATTAAAAATAAAGTAAAACAATGTAGTTTGATAAATTTTGTAGTTAAATAAATATAAAATGGCCCGGAGAAAGGTGTGCGTTCTATAGCAGTGTAATTCCAGCTTGGTAATGTGCAGTCTTAGATAATTGAAAAAAATATAGCAAATCTCTTTATGATAACTAAAGTTTAATATTATGTTAAATACGAGGGACCATTGCAAAGTGAGCATACTTTAATTGGTTAATTGGTTAGGTTACATAAATACGAGCCTTCTTGCCAAATATGTGCCCAAAGTGCTCATGGATGAATGTGCTCATGGGTGAATGTGCACGCATGTGCACGCATGAGTATTATTTTTTTCCAGTGGTAGACGACGTACATATCAACTACGATATACCTACCTACGGTGATTTCATGAATCTCAGATATGTGCCCAAAGTGCTCATGGGTGAATGTGCACGCGTTTATAAGAGCGTGTACGTTGTATTCTATTTTAAAAAAATGAGTGGACCATTTTGAAAAGGTGTTTTTATTTATGTGTCCCATAATTTTGAACATTTATGTATTCCTCTCTATAGAAAATATCTTACTACACCGGCAATTAAATAAACTTGTTAGAAGTTCATCACTGGATTAAGTTGTCATAACTTCTCTTCCTAAGCATGGTAAGGAATTTGCTTAGTAATCTAGCTCAGATATAGGATTTTTCTTCCAACTTACGTATAACTCGCATTTAATTTACAACGGTGCTATTAATAGGCTTTTTCTATTGCCATGCAAGTATTTGATGATGTAGAAGAGAGAGGAGAGCAAAACGAAAACATCATTGCTACGCATGCGGCTTAGAGTTGACTCTTAGTATGTATCTATACTTTCTATATAGTTGGTATCCACTAAAGCTAAAGCTTAACATGCAATCATGCCACATCATCACCCACTAGCAATTACTATTCTAGCACATTTAAAATCCCATGCAAGCATGTCATATCTTCACTCACTAGCAATTACTATTCTAGCCTATTTTAAATCCCATGCAAGCATGACATATTATCTACAATATTATATTATAGAGCTCAAAAAGTATGTGTCAAATCATCTTCCTCATATTATTTTCTCAATATTTCAACTTCCATCATTTCGACAATATATATTTAACATATACTTATCCGTGAATCCCACAGCAAAGCGCGGGGTATCACCTAGTTAAAGAAAATTTTTTTGCATGGAAGAACAAAAGAAAATAAGAGTAACAAAAAATTATTTCAATGCATTAATGGTTAAGAGGTCTTTGTCTCAACCATTGTTGTAGGAGGATAGTCTCCAAGTGATATGTATTAACTAAAGCCCGCATCAAACTCTTTCTTTATACATGCCCTAAGGTAATGAACAGTAGTGACATCATCATCATCATCCTCCGAGATAGAAGGATGGTGTCCATTAATTATTGGACAATTTAATAGATAGTTTAAGAGATAATCCAAAAAATACCATTATAAAGTGTCTAAATCTAAGAAATACCATCGATAAGTGTGAGTTCCAAGAAATGCCATTGTACAAATGATTTTGTCCCAAAAATGCCATCGCCGTTAGGGTTCCGTCCATCCCGCGTCGTTAAGTGCTATATGATGAACAGTGTATTTAACAGCGTGGGGAGGATGGAACCCTAACGGCGATGACATTTTTGGGACAAAATCATTTGTACGATGGTATTTCTTGGAACTCACGTTTGTCGATGGCATTCCTTGGATCTGGACACTTACCAATGGTATTTCTTGGATTATCTCATAGTTTAATACATATAACATTCTAGAGTAAATTTCACAAAACTACAGGTATTTTGCACTATTTATCTCAAAACAACATATTTAAGAGCTTGTTTCATAAAACTACAGATTTAGTGTGTCTATTTATCACAAAATTACAGGTACTTTGTACAATCTACCACAAAAGTACATATTTAAGAACTTGTTTCATAAACTATATGTTGATGGGGGATACCCGTAGACCGGATACAGAGGGTATTGGGATACGCTGGTATGAGGATATACGTAATACGACATCAAGGAAACAGAAAACATAGATTATACTGGTTTAGGCCCCTTGATGGGTAATAGTCCTAATCCAGTTGATATGGGATTATATAGTGAAAACCACAGATTACAAAGGGAATAGCAGAACTCGATGATACCGACAAGACCGTAGTCGAGTTGGTTCAACTAGATCACCCGGCGACTTGGCTCCTGTAGGCTCCGGCTTAGTAGGCTGTGGCATATGTGTTGGCGGTAAGATTCGATGCCTTAGGTCCTCCCGGGGGGTCCCTTTTATACCGCAGGTCAGTTGGTTTCCAAGTAGGACTCGGAGACATTGGACCCTGCATGATACAGTGACGACCCAGTTCTATCCGAGTAGGAATCTTTCCATATGTGGACTCCGTGATGAATTTCCTTAGTGTGCACAGAGAACGTTCGTATACGTGCAGGTATACCATATCGATGCATGACATATATCCAAGGGTAAAGGGTATACCTTATCCATAACCCTGACAGTAGCCCCCGACTTCTGCTTAAATGAACTCAGGTGACCAATCGCGACTTCTGATGTCGAGGTTGTTGTCGTTCTCGACTGGTCGATCTCGTGTAAGAACCGTAAAGACTAGGAGTAGTCGACAACACCATGCGAAGTTCAATAGTCATGAGTGAGTTTAAATTGAAGTCCAAAAACTGTCGCGCGTAACGGACTTAGAAATTTCCGGTGGGCATCTCTCTCCTTTCCTTGGAATTCGCACCATCGGTAGTGCGCCTATTTAAAGGAGTTTTGGGGATCCATTTTGAAGTCCGCCTATTGCGAAAAAACTTTTCAGTCTCCAAGCGCTCCTCATCTTCTCCGCTCCCGCAAAACCCTAGCTTGCTCATTTCAGTCCCTCCTCCGGCGATCTCCGACGGCTATGGATCTTGACAAGTCCACTTCCACCGGCGCGTCGCTGAAGAAGTTGCAGGAAGACGGCGCTCTCCCCGGTCGCGGGACCATGGAGAGAGAACCAGGAGGTATTGAACCCGAGCTTGTCCTGGGCCGCATGGTTGCGGTTGAGGACTACATTCTCTGTGGTTTTCTTCTTCCTCCTTCCGAGTTTCTACTTTTGGTCTTGAATTTCTACGGTATTTCTTTGCTCCATTTGAACCCCAATTCCATCGCCTTCCTCAGTATCTTTTTCACATCTTTGTGAGGCCTACATTGGGGTAGAGCCGTTTCTTGACCTCTTTCGTTTCTACTACGAGTTGCGTTGGATGGAATCCAACAGGGTATTTGGATGCGTCGGTTTCCGACTTCGGGATGGCCTGAAATCATGCTACATCCCCTTCCAGTGTCCCTCTTCTCGTAGTAAATGGCGGGCGAGGTGGTTCTATCTTCAGATAGAAAATTCGGATCGGGTGAGGAACAACCAGACAAGATTTCGTCTTGGACCGCCAAACCCACCTTAACCCCTTCCCTTCAGTCCTTCATCGATATCATCGATGACCTCCGAGTACGAGGGTTGTCGGGGTATGAAGTCGCTGCCGACTTCATTGGTAGGCGGATCCAGCCGCTCCAGGCTCGAGCCCACCTAGCCTTTGACTATTCTGGGTTTCTCCTCGGGGTATTTTTCTTGTATTTTGGACTCCATTCCTTAAGTGCGTGTTCCTCCTGACTTATCGATTCTGGTTCTCGATCTACAGGTTTGAACAGCGAAACCGTGGAGCGCCGCGTCGGTCAAGTGATGATCAGTGGCCCTAGAACGGTGAGTAACGTCCCCATCCCTCTTTGCGAGAAGGGGGCAGCCGAACGCGAAGCCGCAATCAACGTGAGTGTACTCGACGGCCCTGTTGTCTTTTTCTTCCGGGATCGCATTGTGACTTCATGTAGTGCAGGCTCTCCCTCTAACTGATATCATCGGGCCGCTCATGGACCACCAAGCGGCGGCGTCGCTGAAGGTGGACATCGCCAAGGAGGCGTCCGATGTTGTTGCCGCTGCTGCCACGACGAGTGGACGTCGCTGAAGGTGGACGTCGCTGAAGGTGGACATCGCCAAGGAATCGTCGGAAGACGCCCACCCCATCGGTAAGCTCTCTCGGTCCTTCATCGCGTAGTCTGAAGATCTTGACCTCACATCGTGCTCGTTTTACTCTAGGCCTCGGACGCGTCTCCCTCGCCTCCGCGACGACAGCGGCTTGTCACGCTTGGCGAGAAGTAAGTCGATGAATTTGAGGTTTTGTTAATTCGTCGAACTCTTGCAGTCTGTCTTGAGGGCAATCTTTCATAGGGCGGCGCGGACAAAAGCGGCGC